AGTTCCCATGATGGCGAGGTAAAAGGAAAGTAGGCTTCTACCCAGCGCACCTTGAGCGGCTCGCCAGAAGTCTCCGCATCTGAAGCGGATTTTGCGGCGTTGAAGATAGTCACCACCATGTCCTCGAGACTGCGTTTGAGATGTGCGGCTATGGCCTCGACTTCTTCCGGTGAGTGGCCTGCCTGCAGTGGGTTGCGTTCCGCATGGTAAGTAGGATTTGGATCTTCAACAGCAATGTCGTGCTTGGGTATCTTTTCTACATCTTCCCAGATTATATCGGCAAGATTCTTGCCTTCCTTCTCACCTTGCTGTCGATCCCATGTCCGCGCTCCTTCCATCTGATGGAAGACAGGATAGTGACTTCGATCAATGGCATCTCGCCTGTAAACATCTGCGCTGATGAGGTATCCTTCGCTTTCGTTATTGCGGAATGTGTCGGCTTGGTGAGCAGAAGTGTGTGTCCGTAGTACAGTTTCTTTGTTCAGGTAGTACGTGTCTGTTCTACTTCGCCCAATGTGATCCAGTGGAAAGCCAAGCGAGTCGAAATTTTGCCCCGTGGTAACAATAGGAAAGAGGTTGTTGTGTGTCTTATATCCAGGAAACCGAGACTCAATCAACTTCCGTGTGATGGTGAGAGGATGGTCTGGTTGAAGATGTAGGCGTCGGGGTATCGCAGTGAGAATTGACGAAGGTGTGTTCATCCACTCATCAGTCTTGTATGTTTTCCCTTCTATCTTAATCTCTTTAGGCAATTCTTCTGGCAGGTTTTAGAAAGGCGTTCAATTTATATCGATAATGTTGTGCATGCATGCGTATAGTACAATAGCCTATACTAAGAACAATTCGTCACATGATAGCAACATACCTGAAGAGTTGAATCTCACATTGCGCAGCGTAAGTCGAGACGCCAATTGAGGTCTCCATATCCGCAACGCCGCCCCTGAATATAGCTGGCGACATGCCACAGCCGAGCATAAAGTTATTCGCATTTTTGCAGTATAGCAATTGTCTTGTTTAATCGTGCAGCCCGCAAAACCGTACGCGACGCCAAGCCAAGCCAGCTCCGGGCTTAAATCCGAATGCAGGGATGACGTCCGCATGCTGATTTCTCGGTCCCTTAACAACCACCGAACTTTCACGAGCAAATCTTTGTTATAAGGCTGCGGTACGGCTTTGTCCGCTCTACTACACCCACCCCTGACCAGCTTCACATGCCGCTGCTGCGCAGTGTCTCGCATTCAACATGGCCCAAGCCGCGAAGAGGGTGACTTTGCCCGAACTGCGCAAAAGTGAAGATGTAAAGCCTGTCAAGAAAACGCCGATTCATTATCCTTTCTGGTTCGGCGGCAGCGCAAGCTGTCTTGCGACTTTCTTTACCCACCCGCTGGATCTTGGTAAGTCTTTGCGATCTTCTTTTGTACAACATGTGGGATTCCTGGCTGATAATTGGAATAGTAAAGGTATAACTTATGGAGTCGCATGCGCCTGTTGTATACTCACAATTTTAGGTCCGACTACAAACACAGGCGACTCATGGCGTACGATTAAATATGATGCAAATGTTTTCTCATGTCATGAAGACTGATGGCGTACTGGGTCTGTACAAGGGAGTACGTCTTCCCACTCAGCCTCAACGACAATGTCTGATCAACTATAGATATCTGCGGCGCAGCTCCGTCAAGGCACATATAGCATGACACGCTTCGGCGTGTATGAGTCGCTAAAAGCCCGCATGACAACGACCGAAAAGAGACCTTCGTTCCTTACACTGGTTGGTATGGCTTCGGTATCAGGCTTTCTTGGTGGTTTTGCTGGAAATCCAGGAGACATCTTGAACGTGCGCATGCAACACGATGCCGCGCTACCGAAAGAGAAGAGGCGAGGCTACAAGAATGCGATTGACGGTATAATACGCATGTCGCGAGAAGAAGGCGTAGCTAGCCTGTGGAAAGGCGTTTGGCCCAACTCCTCGAGAGCTGTGCTCATGACTGTTGGCCAACTGGCGACCTACGATGGATTCAAGCGTGTCTTGTTGAACTACACGCCTCTCCAGGACAATCTCACCACGCATTTCACCGCATCTTTTCTTGCAGGTTTTGTCGCTACCACAATCTGTTCGCCAGTAGACGTTATCAAGACCAAAGTCATGAGTTCAAGCGATAATGCGGGGCTGGTCAAGACAGTCTCTGATACCATGAGGGCAGAGGGGTTCCGCTGGATGTTCAAGGGCTGGGTACCAAGTTTTATTCGCGTCGGACCGCATACTGTACTCACGTTTCTATTTCTGGAACAACATAAGAAGATCTATCGCCAGCTCAAGAGGGTGGATTAGAAGGAAGATGTGAAGAAAAAGGAGCTTACAAGAGAGGCGAGGTTGAGGTATAGACAGGTTCACGATACCACATGGGCGGGCGTTTGGCGCGAACAGCATTCTTGCAGCGCAGTACTGTTACTTGTATATAGAGGCAGGTCTCCAGCACATAGAAGGGGGGTACCGATACACAACTGGTAATGCATTCTTGGTGGAGCTCGCGGGCAGATTGAGAAAACATTGGCATAAAAACAGAAGTGCATTCGTTCAAGTCCACCCGACAGCCATCTATCCACAGCCCATTGCGATGACTGTGTACTTTTACATCTCACTCTTTCAATACCCATGCTTCGCCAACTCCTCCTCTGTATACTCCCACAACTTCTTCCTTAGCCCCTCATCCCTTGCATACTTACTACCACCATCCTTCTTCCCAACCGGCATATAATACGCCCCATTCTCTAGCTCCTCCTTGGGCACCGTCGCACACCACGTGGTATTCAGCGCTCCGCCCTCTGGCCCTCTAAAGTGACCCGGCAGAACCAACCCTATCAACGCGTACACCCACAGCCCAAGCTTCAAAAAGATATTGGTGCGCAGCGTGTTAAACAGATCCGTCATAATCACTCCGGGATGTAGCGACACAGACGTGATCTGGGGGTAGTGTTCAGCGAGGGACTTAGCATAGATCAGGTTCGCGAGCTTCGACGAGCCATAGCGGCTGAAAGTGCTCTGCTGTTCCAGCGCAGCCTGGTCGAAGATAATGCCCTGGGAAACAGGCATGACGTGCCCGTAGCTGCTCAGACTGATGATGCGCACGTCGGCGCCTGGCAGCTTAGCCGTTTCAAGCATTGTGGGGAGCAGCAGCTTGGTGAGCAGCGCGTGACCCATGTGGTTTGTGCCAAACTGGATCTCGTAGCCCTCTTTCGTCGTGCTGTACGGGGTCGCCATGATACCCGCGTTGTTGATCAGGATGTCGAGACGCGACTCGCGGCTCTTGAATGCAGAGGCTGCTTCGGCGATGGACGCGAAGGATGTCAGGTCAAGGGAGAGGTACTCAATGTCGCAGGCGTTGGGGACCGAGGATTTGATCGAAGCAATGGCATCGTGGGCTTTGGACTCGCTGCGGGAGGTGAGATAGATGCGTGCGGGGTTGTGGGCGGCAAGATATGCAATTGTTTGCTTGCCTAGGCCAGCATTGCCTGTTGTGGACGCGTTAGGCTTGTTGAGGTTGAGATATTGGTGTTGCTGGAAGCGGCTGTGAAGAAGGAACCATGTATGGGTACGTACCACCAGTCACCAGGATGACTTTGCCCTCTAGACTGCCAATGTCGGTCGCGGGATTAAAACCCATGGTGATGCTTTGTGAAGGGTATGTGGGTATCGCGTGAAGAAGCTGTGTCAATATGGCCTTGGAGTGGTGTAGATGTGTTTCCCGCAGTAAGACCGCGAAGGCGTTGATCTGCTGGCTCCAGTATATCCGAGACGCCGACTGTCACCGCTACAATGGGCTTATCCTTAGAATCTCGGTCTTCTTACGCTATTCCCTGACCCAGTCTACTCGTCGTAGGCACATGGTAGGAGTACGTCTCATCTCCAATGGGTCTGCGACATGCCGAGGTTGAGGGTGTGCAATGACGTCGTACTATTCGGGACCCTGTCTCGGTGCGCAGGGCCTCGACAGCGCAACGCGCCTACCATTGTGTTGCAATTCCCATGCAAAGCCGTACAAAGGCCATGCCGACGAGAGTTGATGCAGTCTACTCGGAAGTTGTGAGAGAATGGCTTGCCCCAATTAGTGCTTACCACGCTGCTGACATATATGCATGCAGGCGTTCTGGACAATGCTCCGGTACATCCATTACTACGTATAAAAGGGGATGTTGTTGCTTCGAGAATACGAGGTACTGTTCAATCTTAAAATCATATAGCATTTGGGTTCGGTCCCAGAGCATGGATACAGATTATATCATAAATTGCCATACCTCAATAACACATCATCTCTGCTCCCAAGATAGCCCCCACCTCTAGTCAAGCTCAGAAGAATGCCGTTCCCCGCCTCCGGTCCACCTTTGTTGTCTGATCCTGGTATTATGAATATGAACTGTGTCTCTTCATTACGCGTCGCCAGTGAGGTCAATCGCTTCACTCATTTGTTCTTTCGTCAGGCGAGAGACAGGTAAGCGTCTTTTGGTATTGGGTTTTAGTCATACCCGGGGAGCAGATGAGCCCAGAGATGAAGGATCTACTCGTCGTGTTGACGCTGGTGCATCAAGATCAACTGTAACAGGCAACTGTGGAGACGCAGGTACAATGATGCCCTTCATCTCTTCCTCGGTATGACCATGTGTAAGAGCACCGTGGCTTTTGGAACGCGCTGGAGTCATGCGAGATGGGTAAAGTGGAACACTCCCCATTGTTTGCGAGACGACATTGTTACTTGGAAGATTCTTTAAAACGGTCGCATCTGCTGGCTTCGAGCCCTTGCGACGTCGTTTCACTGGCTGCACTTTTGAAGATTCGGCTTCAACAGCCGTCTTTTGTGGCGACGATGTAGCCTTTGAGAGGGTTTCAGGCGCAACCCTCTTCTTGAAACCGTCTGGTAAGACTTTCGCCGAGATGGACGACTGAATATCTGGCGCCGAACCCAACACTGTAGATGCGGGCGGTTTTTTTGTGATGTCTTTTTCAACACCCCCGCGAATCGCTTGCAAGCCGTCAATGATTTCCCACATGAATTTCCAGACCTGGTGATTAAGGCGGAGATCTGAGAAGGACTCGCGAAGCATTTCCCGGAATATTCTGATATCCCTTAAAAGAACTCCGTGACCCATTTCCAAGTACACGGAAATCAGGACAGCTACACCAATCATTTCTACAGATGCAAAAGTTTGAACACTGTGCAGATATTTATTCGCGTTAGTGAAGATATCAGGATCCAGTTCTGCAAGTTCGCTAAAAGTTTTCCAGACGGCTGCAAGGTGAGATTTCGTAGCATCATTGGCCGCTTCCGCATTATCTAGCAGTTTAGGGACTGCATTGTAGGCTGCTTTGAAGACTGGAATTTCGCTTCCGTTTGTTGTACGTGAGTTTCTGACTTCAATAATCTGACTAAAACAGGCCATGGTGATCTGGAAATCCTTCGCGCGACTCCGGTCTTTCATCAAGTCGTAGATGGCGGGGAAGTCTTGTACAAAGAGCTTGGCTAGTTCCTGCCATGGCCCCGATTTTGCTTGTATTTTCTCGGCGGCACTAAGTTGGACACCCATCTGAACTCTGGCAAATAGATCCTCCTCTTGCTCCTGGGTCAACTCTGAGAACTGGAAGGTAACAAAGTCTTTTTCTAGAAAGAGCTTCTGGGTCTCTAGCGGGAGTAAGCGTTTGCGCTTAGTACCTGGAGCCTCGCAAAACCACCTTGCAATATTGGTAAGTATGTCTAAGTAGTGACAGATCTTAAGAAACTTACCATTTCTCTCCCTGGTGATCATGACAAGGAATCATTCCTTTCGCAAAAGCTCTCACAGAACACAGACGCTGCTTTCCATCGACACACACAAAGGTGGCACGCGTTCGTCTAGTGCTTGGGATACGATCTGTCTTTTTGTTCAGAATAATCGGAGGGATGTAGTAGTTTTCTGCACGGTTAGCCAGACTGAATGGAAAGAGTACGGAATAGTTATAAATTACCCATTAATGAATTTATCAAGCCAATCATGCGATCCGCTGAATAGAGTTAGCAGAATCGGGACAGCAGTCAACTCGTATTATCCTTGCCTGTTCAAACAACTTCCCGCTGGTATTCCGGATCAACATCGATGATGCCATCTTCGAGCTCCTCTAGTCTTTGTTAGCACCCCATAGTAAAGCTTCTATAAGCTTTTCCCTTACTTATCAGACTCGCCATATCTCGCATGTGAACGTTCGGGTGCGGCAGTTGTGGTCGCGGCTTGTAAATGCTCGGATCATCTTCCTCACTATGCGCGACAATGTAGCTATTATTTTGGTCTTTGACAACGGACTGAGGCGCAACAGCGTTTTTAGCGCGCCTATTGAGCAGGCCAGTCGTGCTATTGGTGTTCATGCTGGCGAGATTATTTCATGTTTGCGTGACGTAGAATATAGGCCTGGAGGTAACTAGGTAAGACTGTGATTTATTTGGGAAGGAGCTAATTCTGGTTGACGCTAGTCTACCACCCACATTCAGTGGGTAAAAGAGAAGTAGTATCGACAGGTCGATAGCGCTGAGTATTTCATCTGCACTAACTGAAAGTATTATACTATAGGTTCTGAACCTAAAGGACTGATCTTTCTTCCCTCGCAACCAAAGCTTACATCTAGAAGTTCCTATGAAACGTCGACCATTGTTGTGCACAATCTTAAAAGTATAGATGAAGGAAGTGTTTTTTTTAGGACTCGCTGAGACTAGTCGGCTTGTATCTATTGGAGCTAGGCACTGTATTGCATGTTACCCATTGGTAATCGCACTAGCGTTCTTCTCTGCGGATGTAACAAGGCGCAATACGTAGTAGGCCTGTTAAGCCCAATAGAGTTCGTCTGTCAGTAATAGGTTGATAGCCGCTCTAGCTAACCACCTCTATGAACTCAAAGTGTCTTCATTTCAGTAATCTTTGCGCAATCATCCCTTGAATGTTATCCCCTAAACTTCAAGAGGGCTTCTGCAATTTGCATTTGGAATGATTGATCTAACTTCCCAAACATCCATTGAGCATAGCAGTCTTAACGTTATGGGCTCAGCTTTGCCTTGCTCATAGGCTGTGATTAGAGTATAAAGTCACACACATTCTAGACTTTTGGTTATTAAGGTGAGGTCAAAACAATGAAAATAGCGCTGACGAGGGTGTTGTACATCGTGTAGGCGATATGTCTGATGAGAAGGCACAGTAGCATTCTTCTCCCACTAGAACACGTCGTTGGAGCTAATTAATGCTGCGATGATTATGGACAGCTTGAATCTCTTGCTAGTAGCGCTGCCGAGATGCAGGGCGATGATGTGCATATCTAGTGAGTCCATCGACGACACTGGCTGCTGACAAACATGTTGCAGGGTGTGGAGCATGTCGAACTTGTATGTATTAGTAGATGCATTAGAATAGTGCGAGCAGAACTTGTTGCAAACCTTCCTCGAACAGTCAACGAGCCCTCCAGCATCGTGCAAGACGAAGTGCACCTTCAATATCCGTAACATCAGTCTACACGGGGATTGTTTGTGCATGCATTGTTCCATGAAACATCGGCAAACTAGGGCCACTCTGGCGAGCGAGCCGTCGGACCGAAATGGAAATTGGCATCCCTGCATCATTCCCGTCACTTCAAGGGACGCAAGTTCAACAAAACAATACTAGGCCCGACTCTCATGCATATTTAACAATATGGAAGCATATGAATTCTATCGTATTCCAAGCTTCCTATTCCATTTTCTGTTGGCTCGACTTTAACCACGAGTATATATCTCTAAGATGAAACTTATCCATTCCTCTTTCGCAGGGCTTCTGATTGGGCTTCCTTATGCCTTGTCCCTTCCGCTCGACACCCTAAGCTGCCCCTTGACTTTTGACGGCCGAATTCCCCAGAATTTCACCAGAGACACATTCGAAACTGTGCAGAGTCCTTTCAACCCCAAACATGTTCTAGGACAGAGTAAGATATCTGAGCTATTATGGTCTGTGCCCACTAACATGTTCAACTCCCTTAGACCAGACATGGAGGGAAGTGATATCGTTTCCCGACGTAGAGCCATCGATCTTTGATCAAGTAGCTGGAACAAAACCCATCGAGGTAGAGATAACGTAAATCACCTCGCTATATACTATCCTGATTACAGCCTGACAATGTGTCTATAGTGACCGGTCCGTCTTCGCATCGTCGTCTGAAGGCCGTGAGACCGCACTCCGTCGAGCGGAGCTACTCGTCAATGGTAAAAACCAGACTGTCTCTGGCAAAGTCACTTGGCTTTTCTCTATGCGAACTTCACCATATGCTCTGAATCTCTCACACGAATATCTTCTCGCTTTCCATGAAGCCCAGGACTTCCAGGCAGATTTTTGGTCTCTCAAGGTCGGATTACCCATGCAGGAAACTCTTCGTGGACCGAATGGAACGGGTGGAGGTGACGACCTGGCAGCATATGGCGAGAACATTGGATTCATTCACCCCGATGTTACAGAGTCGATGTTGAAGACCGGCAGCGTCATCTATCTCCAAGGCTGGAAATGGGCCAAGAAAGTCCAAACATACTTCATGGCGCCCTTCACTCCAGACATCTGGCACAACTTTGGGCTGTACCTTGACTTTGACGACAACCAGATGCAAATTGCTTATTCGACTGGAGAAGATGGGTTGAAGATAGTGACGCCCTTGTTGGCAAACAACATATCTGGAAAGGCTCCTACTACTCTGGGCGAGACACACTGGGGCTTGCAGAAGAGGCCAGTTGGTGCGAATATCAACAATTTCCTTTTCGAGGGCTTGCAGCTCCACGGCATTCGGGAACGACTGACCATTGGGGGGATTTTGCAGGTGCGCGGGAGCTTGGAGGATTGTTCTTAGATTCAGCCTGTTTAACTGAAACACAACTGCTTCATACAAGAAAACATAAATGCAACGTTTGATATGACGCTATTTAGAAGTTGCAGCCCCCAAAACCAACCAAAACTAAATTCGGGACTCTCTCTATGAATTCGGTAAGCCATGGGGGTTGGATTACTAACGCTACTAATATTCAATGTACTAGTGCGAGAAAGGGCCATACCCTGACCTCAATAATATCTGCAGTATGTTTCGAAGGAGAAAACATGATATCAGCTCCAAGAACCAACAAGAGAATTCAAACAGGCATTGTAATCCGCAGGGCTATCCATGGTGCTGTCAAACATCAGCTTGAATCGTTTGGAAAGAGTTAGCCTGTTGAACTTGGTTCTGATATATGTCGACTTGCTACTGTCCTAAGCTCCTTTTTTCTCGAAGATGAGATAAGAGATTCTATTGAGCTATAACAATGTCATCTTGAGTGTAAGTTGCACTTCTGTATTCTCGTCGAGCATGGCCGTCTCAGCATCGCCTTGTTCTCAAAGGCTACGATTAGAATATGAAGTTCGAAGATCACACTAGATTCCAGCTTAACACCTCGTGGAATATTATCTGGCCTTACAGCACTTGCAGAGCCCTATACTTCTGGCCAGGTTGATCAGGCTGAATATGCAGCCCCCGTGACTTACGTAGCGAAGATCTTGGCAGCGAGTCTTACGCAACCTGCACCGACGTTCTCCATCAATACTCTATAGTCCAATCGCCAATACTTTCAGCGACTCATCTTGAAACTATTGCCATTGCATCATTTCATTTTTGTTTGGATCGCCGTCTGAACACATCCCCATGCGATTGCTGCAGATCCATGGCAGCGACAAGCTCAGCCTTGTCGAGCTGTTGCCTGATAATCTCCCACCCTACGCCATTCTTTCGCACACCTGGGGTCCTCCCAATGAAGAAGTCACTTACCAAGATTTTCTCGATGGAAAAGGTAAAGAGAAGATCGGTTACCGTAAACTCATACGATGCGGACAGCAAGCCGCTCAGGATGGCTTCCAATACTTTTGGGTCGACACGTGTTGTATCGACAAAACAAGCAGCGCAGAGCTTTCGGAAGCAATAAACTCAATGTATTCCTGGTACCAGTTAGCGGACGTATGTTATGCGTACCTAGCTGATATAGGTCCCAAGGATAGCTTCACAACAAGCAAATGGTTTACCAGAGGATGGACGCTCCAGGAATTGTTAGCCCCCGAGGAGATGATATTCTTCGACGAGAAATGGTTTCTCCTGGGCACTAGAGCGGGCCTTCGAGAACAAATATTCCAACGTACCCAGATTCCAGTCAACGTACTCTCGCAAGCAGAGCCTCTTGAACATTTCAGCGCTGCACAGAGAATGTCATGGGCTGCAGAGAGGAAAACGACGAGGATAGAAGACATAGCCTATTGTCTGTTAGGCATCTTCAACATCAACATGCCTTTGATATATGGGGAAGGAGAAAATGCTTTCATCAGACTCCAAGAGGAAATCTTGAAGATATCGGACGATCATAGTATTTTCGCGTGGCGATCAACCGATGATCGTGGTGGTTGCTTAGCTACTTCTCCAGCCTCATTTCGCAAATCCGGAAACATTGTACAGTGCGTTACCTTAGACAGGTCCTATGATCCAGTCATATTGAGTGGTAAGGGTGTTCATCTTAACGTTAGGTTTATGGGTATTGGTCACGACAAGCTTGGCTGTGCAAAACTCGATTGCCATGAACAAGGAAGTGGAGATGAGCGGATTTCCATCTACGTGAGGGATATGAATCTGACAATGAAGCAATTGAAGAGGGTCAAGAGCAATGAGTTTGCGCAGACAAATTTCGAGGATTTCATATCATCACGGTATCCAGTTAGGAGATTATGCATTCAAAAATCGCGCGTAAAATCGAGATCGAAAAGCCAACTCTATGGAGTGCCCAGGGTCAATGCACCTATGACAATCGGTCCTGGACAGTTATCGCGAAAAGAAACAAAATCTAAAAGTCGCAAGTCGTTGCTTGAGGCAGTCAAAACAGGGAGCGAGGATGATGTATGGCTGCTTTTGACAAGAGGAGACATTGAAGTGAATCAAAAAGACAAGGACAAGCAGACAGCTCTTACTCATGCTGCATGTAGTGGAAACGAGAGTATTGTTCGGATGTTACTAAATCACACGGGCATCGATATCAACCCTCGAGACATACTTGGGCGGACGCCAACGTGGTGGGCAGCAATAGATGGACATAGGGCAGTGGTCAGGCTTTTACTCGAAACGAGTAAAGTGAAGGTCAACCTACCAAACGATAATGGCTCAACACCATTGTTCGTGGCAGCAGATGCAGGCCATTTGGAAATAGTCGAACTATTACTAACAATGCATGGTATTGACGCCAATGCAAAGGACAAAAACAGGTTAACGCCATTGTTCGTGGCAGTAAGAGCAGGCCATGTGGAAATAGTTCGACTACTATCCAAAATACATGGTATCGACGCTAATGCAGAGAACAAAAACGGATCGACGCTACTATCTGTAGCAGTACAATCAGGCAACCAAGCGATTGTAGGGCTACTCTTGCGAGTGAATGGGATTGATGTCAATAGAAGGGACAAAAACTGGTCGACGCTCCTGATATGGGCGACAAAAACAGTGTTGGATTCAGCTGTGGTGGAGGACCACAGTGGCAAGTTAGATGACATGATAGCAATTATTAGGCTGTTGCTAAAGATGGGCAAAGCCAACTCTAACATAAGAGATGGAGATGGGCGAACCTCGTTTTCTTACTTAGCAGCAGCAAAGGATGAAAGAATAGAGCCCATATGTGAGTTTTTAGTGCGGGAAATTATTTTGAATGAAAACAGCTCATTAGATCAAGATGGAAATTCGCCGCTGCTGGCAGCAATTCTGGCAAGCGAGCTTCCAGTCATCAAACTTCTCCTCAAGGCAGGCGGAGTTAATGTGAATTTTAAGAACAAGGACGGGTTATCACCGCTACTAGCAGCAGTATTTGTGAGAAGAGATGCGGTTGTGGTAAAGCTATTACTGAGGAAAGCTGAGATTGAAGTTAACATAAGGGACAATCACGGAAGAACTCCAATTTCAAGGTTGGCGAATTATACATATAATACTGGTTACGATATGGCTAAGCTACTGCTCAAAGCACCAAGCATCCAACTCGACTCAAAAGACCGCCACGGACGGACTCCTCTTTCATGGGCAGCAGCATCAGGAAATATCGAAATGGTCAAGAGCCTACTTGGGGCAAGCAACGTGAATGTCAACTCACAAGACAACAATGGAAGGACTCCTCTCTCATGGGCAGCATCGTCAAATTCGTACGACATAGTTCAAGTGCTACTCCGAATGCCAGACACGGATGCAAACCTAAAAGACCACGACGGACGGACGCCGCTTTCATGGGCAATACGGTCAGCTGGGCAGGGAACTATAGAGGCACTCAAGAGACAAACGGATAGCAGACGCTTCATGGCCCAGTAACAGAATATATACCATCACGACGCCAAGATACTCTTTGGTCGCATCAGTTCAAGAGCTGAGAAAAGAAAAAGAAATAACCCATTAAAGACAAAAAAGAATCCAAGACATTTTCCACCGTCCTGTTGAGAAGGAATCTTGCATCTCGCTTTCTAACACTACAGCTAGCAAAGTTCTGAAGGTTGAATGACGAAGAAAGCTTCCTTGAAATTTCCATCCCCTTCTTTGACTGCTACCTATACTGATGATCTACATTCTCTACCTCTATCACTTTGAATATCCAAAAAAGATAAAAATCTGGTATGACATACGCCCAAGCAAATACAAATAATTCAAGTCATGAGTTACATACAAAATCACACGATAGCCATACCTAATCTCTCCATTAAGTGATGGTTTGAACTTCAGATTTTACTTGTCACATGGCTCTGTATAGTCGCTATTTGTCATGCTCGTGGCTTATATCACTGATCAGAGTACATATACGTACAGTTGTGAATAAGGAAAACAACCATACTCTGCACACCAAAGAATTGGAAAACGACCGCATTTGTGTTCGCCAAAACGATCCAGAGATACGTTTTATTCATAGTTAGAAAAATATGTTAGTGCAGGGATGAGGTTGCGGTAACGGATATTTTCTGTTGAAAGGGGCAAATCAAGACCAAAACACGTAAGTGAGAAAGAGAGAGATAGTTGAATGGACTAATATATAATCTAACTTGTTATTATTGTTACAGAAGACCGCATCCTTGTTGTTCTTAGCAAATCATTCCAGCTCGTTATATTCGTAAAATTAGCCATGGCACCTAGTCATTGACATATCACTGTCAAGAAAGTCTCATCCCGTGTGGCGTGAACCTGCATTGTCAAAGTGAATAGCACAATGCATATTCAAATGACACGTAACCTTAGCCCATCAATCATCATAGAGAGACTCATGTTCATCGTTCACCTGGGCAGCATGTCCAGCAGCAAATTGTTCCTGGAAATTTCCTTCTTCCTCTTCACTGCCGCTATCCGACGCTTCGCCATCGCTGATCTCAATGATTTCCAGCGCCTTGGCTTTCTCGGACAAGCGAAGATGAATATTGCCAAGGTGCTCGGACTGCTTTATTTCGAGAAAACCTCTTGTGCCCAGTGTGAGAACCATCATGAGGCCGTGGCAAGCAACCATCTTTGTATTCTCCGCAGGCGGAAGTAGCTCTTCGAAGGTGATTTCTCCAGCATCGTTCGCAACTCCTGTCTCTATCTGCGCACGACCTCCCTTTTCTTTCATCTTCTCGCGTATGTAGGTGATGAAGTTTTCGCCTTCGATGGAAAGTACTTTAAGTGGCTGAGAGTTGGTATCCAGAAGAGCTGCCACCCCAGGAAAATCTGAGCTTAGTCCTGGAAGCCCAAACTCGTCGCCCACATAATCTGCGTCGCTTGTAAGGTTATTCAAATCGAACGGAATAGACTGGCCTCGTCTATGCAGTGGAGAGGCAGATACTAGGCGACTTCCATATCTTCCGTGGTCGGCTGAACCAGTCATGCCGATGCGCCTACTGCGAGGAATGGCTGATGAACTTCTAGCAGAAGCACTCATGTTCCACGGCATTGCAGAAAAGACGTGTTGATCATCAAGAGCAGGTGCCACTTCACGAGGCAGTTCGACTGCAGCTTCGTCGTCTCCAAGAGGCATAGAGAATCCTTCATCGTCGGCACCTCGAGCAACCTCAGGCTCGACAATCTTCTGGCGTATATGACGTGCCTGCTCTTGCATAGCATCGTCGATACCGCTATCGCGATCATGCTTGCGTCCAGTTACTTTACGACTCATGCCCGTTATAGCCTCGAATAACTTTTCGCCCATGAACATATCGAATGGATTATAACCTTCGCATCTAGGAATACGTTGGCCAATACCACCTAATCCAGACCCCCATACATAATGCTCAGCATTTTTTTTTGCTTGTGTCAAGGCACGATTGTGAATCTTTTGTTGAGTAGCAGTCTTCATGTTGTTGAGATAGTTTGCGCCCCAGTATATCAGGTCCTTGTTACGAAGTTCAGTTGCTGTATCTGCAGGAATGGCGCGTGGAACTCGATTTCGTCGCATAGGAGCAGTAAAGGTTTCTGACGATTCTACCACTTCTGAAGACTGTTGAGACTGCTGCGAACTACCTGAGGAATAAGCGCCGCCTTCGGGAAGACTGTTTTCTTCGCTGGGAAGCGCAATATGCATCTCATCATTTGGCAACTGATATATATCAGCATCCATAGTAAATGTTTTTTGGGTGTACGTAGAGTTAGAAAGTAAAGAAAGGAAACGATAAGAAGGATGAGAGAAAAAGAGAATAGAAACATAGTCCTCAAGGCATGCTTTCTCAGATCAGGTAAAGTTTTCGCGACAATGAGCTGAACATCTTGGGAACGTGGGAGACCAGTCGGAAAGCCACAACGACAGTCCAGGTGAAAAAAACGATTGAATGAATAATCCATAGAGATATGAAGTAACACTGCATAACTCACCTGATCGAGAGCGCGCTGTCCTGGGTCAAGTTCCTTTCTCACCCTGTCACTCTGTACAACATCCCCAGACCTGGGCGCACGTGCAGATGTAGCCGGGGTTCTCAGCGATATAGTACCTGGCGACAGCTGAATGATCTCGCCATCATCCCCGAATTCAAAATCCGGATCTTCGATTTCGATTGTGTCGCCGGCTCCAAGCATGGCACTATGTTGGCCAATACTGCCTGTTCCATAGTCGCCTTCGAGTCTAAATCCGCCCGAAGTGATGGGAGACGAAGTAGGGAGAATGAGGGCACCTGCACTACCAACGTGGGAAGTAGATGAATACTGCTGAGAGCCAAACGGTGTTAGAGACTGGGACTCGCCAGAGTATGTTATATCGAGGTTGAAGTTGCAGTCTAGATCGGCGAGTAGTTCTGGTGGAGGAGGAGCAAAATCGGGAAGGAAAGAGGGATCATCTTGGAGAATGAGTTGCTCTGGACTGAAATATATCTGTTAACTGACTGTCCCGGAAAGGGGTGAACGATGATTCTTTACTTGGCTTTGCCGGCAGTAGGATCGAGCTCGGTACTCTGAACTGTCCGTAAGGCCATTCTCAGAGCAAGTTGAGCATTCTGTGCGTCCGAAAGAATATATCCGCACTGTTGTAGGTACACTCGCGATAGTCCATATCTGTATGCGTCAGCAGTGCTGATCATGCTGCCCGGCGAGCAGAGTGACTTACAACAGGTTTCCCTGTAGACGTAGAGCGAGAGGGGCTACTGGATCGATGATGGTTTGGCATGCTTTGGATACGTCGACATCAAGAATTTGCTTGCGGTTGATGCGCTTCAGGCTTGATTTGGCACCAAGGGTTGCAACGAGCCTACCGTTTCTGTCAGTCGAGGTAAGGAGCAACTGACAACTATCATGACTAACCACACAGTCGCCACACCATATTTACGCGATGTGAGAACTATAAAAGTCAGTTCAGTCTCTAGGCTGGAGTCCTGCAAGGAAGCCTACTTTCGTGACTGTAAAACATGGTGGCGGTTAAGACATGAAACGAAAGTCTAACGCGATAGGGCGGTACAGTAAAGGACGACAATGTAGACTGCAGGCAGGGAGGCTTGAAAGAAAGTCTAAGAGATTGTTGCGGAGAGGAAAAGAGAAGTGCTGGACGCGGGCATCATGACCCTTGGCAACACGTCTTGACGCGTTTTTACGACGCGAAGTGAATTGGACGCGATGACATGAATAAGACCGATCGGTCAATATCTATTAATGCAAGTCTAGAAGTCATGCCCTCATTACTCATAGTTCAAAGAGTATCGATCATAGCGCTTTCAGCTGGGTCAACGCCAGTGCCATGCGTCATCCATTGCTCAGCCCACGCTTCTACTTTGCCATATAGCGACAATGGCATCCTAAACACCATCTATGAAATCAGTCGTCGATTGATTCTATGCGTCTCCCATCTGCACGTCCTCCTCGATGACCGGCAGGGGGACCGCGCGGTAGAGGAGGATAAGAGCCGAATGGCTTTGACCTATGCCAATGTCAGTCATAGATCATACCCAAATGACGGAAACACTTACCTCCACCAGAAAGAGTTTGTATTCTCTCAGAATCGACTTCGGAAACCTTCTCGTCATTGAACCACCACCATTTGCCGTCTTCCTCCTTTCGCTTTCCAGTGACTGGATCCTTGGCTCCCTGCTTCTTGACGAAGGAGGTGTAGTGGCCACTGTCAGCACTGGCGCCCTGGTGGGTGATGACACCTCTCAGCTCGTAGAGACCCGTCTGATTGGCCCCTTCATCGGCGGCCATCTTGGGGTCTACAAGTGCGAGGAGCTCCTTCTTGGCAGCCACGATCGATGCAATACGCTCGGCTTCGACTTGAGCATCGGTCTTGTACTCGATATCCTCCATCTTAGCATCCTCGGGCTTGTTGGCTTCCTCCTTCTTTTCTGCGGCTTCCTTCTTCTTCTGTAGAGGTTCCTTAGAGGCAGTAGGTTCAGTATCATTCTCTTCACCGGCCTTCATGCGCTTCTGTCGCTTGCGGGCGCGCTCGAGATCCTCTTCCTCCTTACGGACATCGCGAATCTTGTCACGAATGGGGACAAGGGCCTTCCTCAGTTCGTCGGTGCAGAACTCTAATGCATCCAGCTCTTCTGGGAAGGTAACCTTGCGCATGATCTTTGCCTTCTTGTTGGTGTCTCGTCGCCAGTCAAAGCGTACAAAGTGGACTGGAAGGTGCTTTGGCAGGCGTGCAATCTTGGAAGTCTTCGTGTACATGGCATTTCGTCCTAGAACTTCTGATCGCTTCTCAATCTGCTCCTTCAGACCAGCAGCGAGACCATCTCGGAGGTGGTTCGTCTCGACGTTGATGTGGCAATTGAGCTTGAAGAATAGGTCCTCGCTGTGAACTGCCTCCTCGCCACTCTCCTTTGCTGCAGGCTCGTCGCACTCCATGACCGACTCGAATCTTCCCGACATATACTTGTCAATCCAAGACATGGCCTGCTTATCCGCACCTGACGCATCCTTTCCGGTGACCTTGAGCTTTTGTCGCAGTTGCGATACTATCTGTGACCAAGCTTCTTCGGCATCCTGCTGTGCGTAGCCATGACCATCTTTTGCTTTTTGTGCGAACTGGGGGAAGGCGGTTCTGAGAGCGTTGAGGAACATGAGCGGAGGGAACCCTTGCTGGGTCTCGGACATTTGCTTGAACAGATCGCGGAGGGAGCTCGTGAGGTCAGTCGAGGCACCGAGACCACCGAGGCCGAACTGGCTGAGTTGCTGCGCGGAGCTGGATGAACCGGCGTCGTTGCTGTATGTAATCAGTATAGCGCAAAAATATATTTGGAGAAAACGTACCTTGCAGAATACCGCAGAAGCTCTTCCTGAAGTTCTGGGATGGACCGGAGCGTCTGTAGTGTAGAGTTCATATAGCAGGTGTTGCCCAGGTTTTGGAGACCGGCAGGTGTGGCGCCTTCAAGCTGCGCGGCTTCTGCCTCGTCCATATCCTCCAAGAACTTGGTGGGGACCTTGGGCTTCTCAATGACGACTCCGGTGCCTGAAGGCGTTCCCATCATCATCAGAGTCTGGCCGGGCTTGAGGCCTAGTTTGGACATGTCGGTGTCATCTTTGAGCTGCCCGCCCTTGACAATGACTTTCTGGCGCTCTGGCTCAACTCCGGTGATAGAGAATAGCTGGTACTTGAATGTTTCACCGTTGGAGGTGGTATCCACTTCGACCTCGTGCTTCTTGCCCTGATGCTTTACGATTACTACAAACATTCAAGTCAGTACGGAAACGATCCAAAAGTGCCGGTATATCACCACATACCTGGTATAGACGCCATGATGTCTACTCGACTACTGTGCAAAGAATGTGTATGGGGTCTTGGGGGGCGGAGGCGAAAGAAAGACTTATAATGCAATCGTGGGGCGACATGTAATGGTCGACAGCCGAATCATGAGGAAGAGGTGCCGCGCCAAGCTCAGCCGCCGCCCGGAGCTCCAGCCCCACTAACAACCACCTGCAGGCAGCGCCAACTCCCCGTGCTGGCATGTCATAGCCCGCCCTCTTCCCTTGACTGCAGTCCTGACTTCTGAACACAGAGCTGGTGCTGAGCTCGTCTCACAATGGTATGTCTCTATGAGCTCTTCTATCACCCGACTACTTGAGCATTGCTAACGTCCATCAGTCTCAATCCCTCCGCCCATACCTCCAGTGCGTGCGCTCGTCCCTCACGGCCGCCCTCTCCCTCTCCAACTTTGCCTCGCAAGCCTCGGAGCGTCACAATGTCCCTGAGATTGAGGCTGCAAGCTCCCCCGAGGTCATCCTGAACCCCCTCACTGTATCGAGAAACGAGAATGAGCGCGTATACATTGAGCCCAGTATCAACAGTGTGCGAATAAGCATCAAGATCAAGCAGGCAGATGAGATTGAGCACATTCTGGTCCACAAGTTCACACGGTTCTTGACCCAAAGAGCCGAGTCGTTTTACATTCTGCGGAGGAAGCCGGTCAAGGGCTACGACATCTCGTTCCTGATTACCAACGCCCATACTGAGGAGATGCTAAAGCACAAGCTGGTCGACTTTATTATCCAGTTCATGGAGGAGGTTGACAAGGAAATTTCTGAAATGAAGCTCTTCGTAAGGCACCACTGACAATCTGTGGAGGGCATGAGCTAACACTGCCCAGTTGAACGCAAGAGCACGTTTTGTTGCCGAATCTTTCCTTACTCCAGTACGTCTTGCCCCGCTGTCGATCACGAACTCTTGGCTAACAACACAACTAGTTTGATTGAGCGTGCCAGGATGGCGTTTGTATATATCACGCCATTACGGATATCGGAACAGAAGCAGCCATGCGAGACGGACTATGGTCGAGGGCCCAATTCGTTGGCTTGCAAGCAAGCGTGGGCATGGAAAAGTTGCGATCTAAGCTGAGCATTCGACCAGCAATGAATACAAACACGAACTTGAATCACCTTGCCGCACATGACGTGCACAACGACGTCTCGAATGTGTCTACATAACATGGTCTAATGGGCTCCTCGGTCCGAGTCGGGCATCACATATGCATTGGAATTGACATAATGATTTGTTCTTCATTTCATTCATTCGTCTCTACGACGTTGACTAGGTGTATCGTCATTTTGCAGCGACTTCCCGAGACGCTTGCTACTCGCTGCCAATGCTTACAACTTGGCAAGGACGGCATCAGCACCAGAGACCTGCGCCTTGTTAGACATGCACAAGCCGAATCAATCTAGATTCAAGAAAACTTACCGAAACTTCGCCAGGGCTCTTCTCATTCTCAGCATAGATGACCTTGCCATGGTCGAAAACCATAGCCCAGCGACCATTGCGGTCACCCATGCCAGCATCCCAGCCGTAGTTCTTGCTGAAAAACGTCTTGGTGTCGCTCAGGAACAGGACCTCATCGCCCTTGACGCCGTTGACCTTGCCCCACGCATTCATGACCCACGCATCGTTGGACGCAATCGTGGCGATAATGTCGACGCCCTTGTCCTTGAATTCCTTGGCCTTGGCAATGTAGGGTGGCAGGTGGTACGCCTGGCAGCCGGGAGTGAAGGCGCCGGGAACAGAGAAGACGACGACTTTCTTGTCTGCCCACTCCTTGCTAGCATCGTATTCTTGAGGGCGGCCGCATGCGGTGGGGTCGCTGTCGGTGATGGGGGCCCATCTATAGAGAAGGTCAGCATTCATCTTGTAAAGCAAGCAAGCACCAAGTGCCCATTTGAGAGTGCTAGATGAAGGGAAGCACATACTCGAACTTGACGCCCTCGGGGAGCTTGTCGCCAACCTTGAGAGGAGCCATCTTTGCAATTGCTGTATGTAAAACGAGAAAGTGTAAAAGGTGTGAAGAAAGCTTTATATATCGATTCAATCAACTACAAGTAAAAGAAAACTCCGAGAAGAAACCAAGGAGCTTTATCTAACTTAAGTACTAGCTGCCAGGAGGGGTGCGGGACCCAAGAAGGAGGGGCAAACCTTGCCCGCTTCACCCGCTTTGCTTGCTTCGCCGGCCGAACCCTTACCTCAAAGCTTTCTGCGTATAGCTCTCGAGATCGATAGTGGGGCAGACACCACACAGCGGATACGCTTGCTGGCGGAAAGTGCGACAGCTTTGGCGTCATCTGCCGCCAAGAAGGGGCCGGTTACCCTAACAAGTTACATATGTACGTACGAGTACATTAAAAACTGCCTCATTTTGGGTGTCCGACCGGGGTTTGCGCTGTTCGCTTTGACAAATCTTCTCGGCCTATGAGAGCGCGGAATGCGGGTACCTGAGTGAGCAAGCTGAAGAGCTGGTGATGGGATGGTGGGGACTACTACATAGATGATGCTACCGCTACCTTGATGCTTTGGGGTTAAAGCTACCATAGAACGGCCGGCTCTGGAGGGTTAGCTTTGTCAATTGGAACGTCCTAGACCGTCGGATTATCGCGCGCCTAGTATGCTGAAGCTTTGTCATTTGATGGAGAGCCTCGGCATCTTGTCCTTTCCCTACGTATGCGCTACTTGAGCGTCTGAGATGGGTTGCTGGTTCGAGAAGCTTCCCTATGCTATCGATATCGAAGTGGGTCGTGGGGTCCACTGCGATCGGCATGGGCGCGTGGCAGAGGTCGCGGCAGGCAACGACACCAACGACAATGCTTTGGGCCTTGCGTTCAGAAATCGCTATGGATGCTAGTAGTGTGCAGAATGCTTAGGGACTATCACATAATCATTTGAGAATGATCAAAGCGGCATTGTTTTCTAGACTAGACATCCAACAATGCCGATGTGCCGACAACAAACAACAATTCGGCACGTTAGTGTGAGAGTATGTCTCGACATCACGGCAAGTTAGATAGTATATAGTTCGGTCAGAGCGAACTCTGCAATCTTCACAAATCATCTGGAGTAATTCAATCTGATCGAGCCATGTCTCTTGCACCACCGTTCACCAAAGAAACCGCCCATGCCAAGGTCAAGAAGGCCCAGGACCTGTGGAACACCCAGTACGTCAGCATGTTTACGCTTCTACGCCGTCTAATTGCCGTAGAAATCCCCAGGTCATCGCACAGGCCTACACCCCCGACAGTGTGTGGCGCAACCGATCGTCGTTCCTCGTAGGCACGGCAGCTATCGAGGACCTCTTGACCAAGAAGTGGGAGAAGGAGAAAAGCTACCGGCTACGCAAGGAGCTTTTCGCATTTACCGACAACAAAATTGCAGTGCAGTTCTGGTACGAGTTCCAGGATTCCCATGATGGCATGAGGTGGAAGCGGTGCTACGGTCTCGAAGACTGGACATTCGCCGAGGACGGAAAGATGCGGAAGCGGCAGATGAGCGGCAACGATATCGATATCGAAGAAGCTGGTAAGTCCTCTGATGCTTACGTTCGACCGATACAGCCCCCCAATGACATTTTCAGATCGATGGTTCAAGGACGGTGTTGATGTTAATCAAGTCGACATTAGCGAAGCTCATTGGTGAACCAGTCTATTGCGCTATTCAACCTAGTGGGGTATCTTGATGCTTGTGTAAAAAACAGTTCCAGTGTGTAGTGGCTCTGTCAACGGCCCTAGGCAGGAGGAGTATCATGGATAACGACGAGAATGAACTTGGGATCTGGTTGTAGATTAGTACATGGCACATAGCAAGTTGTGCAACATTCATACCTGGTACAACGACCAACTCATTCTTCTTTGTTCGCAATCGCAAAAGCTTCACTTCGTCCTCCTTATCTAGCTCATCGACAAGACTTCCTGCTGCGGCCAAGAACGACCACACCGAGCTCGCGACATCTTCTGCGCTATGAATCCCGCTTTCCTTTCTGCCGTTCGCGTAGCTCTCGGACGTGGATTCTCCAGAAGCTGGGAGGGTACTATTTGGGTTTGCTGACGAGCTTTTCGAGATGAGGCCAGAAGTGCGTATTATGTTGCCATTTTCGCGCGACAGTATGAGAGTGCTCTGCACGCCGGGCTTCTGGCTCAACCGGGTGAGCAATGCGAGTGTTTCGTCTGGCTGGGTCATTAGTTAGTCAACCAAGAGTACAAAAGAAGCTATATAATGCATACCGCGTTTTGGGTCATATTGAGTGAAACAGAGCAAAGAGGCGGGGTAAGGGATGTGGTCGCCGTCAGGTTATTGCCAATGACATCGGCAGACAAGTCCGCAGCTGGACCCTGCCAAGCCATGTCCTTTTTAGGCCTCTTTCGCACTAGTGGCATCCATGGGTCTTTAATTTTCCTGCTACTTACACTCGAGCGCGCGCGCTTCAACATCATCGGTGTCGTCAATTTCAGGTTCCTTCTAATTTTTGAACCTTCTTCTTCGTAGTCGCCTGCTAGCAAATATATACTCAAATAATCCAGAAGACGCGACTCAAACGACATCATGACAGCAAGCTCGAAGAAGAAGGAGAGCAAAAAGAAGGATTTCCAGGTAACGAAAGATCAATCTGGTGCTCTTGTAACCATAGCTCACAGAACTTTAGAAACCGAAACTAAAGGTCGGAAAAGCAAAACCAAAGGCAGCAAATGCGACAGATACCAGTTTTCGCGCAAAGTGTAAGATGTATGACAGTCGGGATTGTGAAAATTACTAACACACATTAGCAATCGCGTTGAAACAACAGGCTCTTTCGACTAGTGCTCCAACTCTAGAGGCGCAATGCGCCCACCATCTAGGTCTACTCAACCACAAGGCTGATTCGCAGCGTAAAGAATCGCTAGCGTTTTTAACCTCAGCAATCACTAGCAATCCGCCTACAGCTCCATTGCCACAACCGTCATCTGTCATCATCCCTGCGGCTCAGCGCCTTATTCTCGATGGCACAAAGAGTGTTCGCCAGCAGTTACTCAAACTTTTGCAGAGTTTACCACCGACGGATATTGCTGGTCATGCAGATCAGCTACTCCTCCACACAAGAGCTGCTATGACGCATCTAGCAACCGAAATCCGTCTCTTTGGTCTTGATGTTCTTGAATGGCTGCTTCAGGTTGCAGGTGACGAAGTAGTCAGTTGCGCTGGTGGTTGGGTGAAAATGCTGAAATGCTTCCTCAGTCTACTCGGTTGGCAGAGCGAAGCAGCAAGCAAATGGTCGACGGGGAGGTCATATGGGAAAGCTGATTCAAAAATGCAAGTGAGACAGATGAGCGTGTTGACTTCATTTCTCCGCACTGGACTCTCATATACGCAACCAGCAACTACCATTGACATCAGCGCAAACAGTTTTCCACTTTGGCACACCCAGCACCACATGTTATCAGAACGGTCCAATGCATATGCGCACCTCAATTTGTTTGGTGCTGCAAGAGATGAAGAAGCGGAAATGTATGAAGACCGCGAGGACCGGCAAAGGGTATTCCACGAACGCGCTGAGGCTGCAATCGTTGCAGGATTGGAGGAAGCCATAAAGGCTGGTGGGGAGCTGGGCCGCGCGGGCGCACAGCTTCGAAAGGTTACTAGGGAAGGCATGGCAGACTTCTACCGCGAAGAATTGATGCCTTGAATATAGAGGGTTTATTCTTTGCGAAATCAACGCAGTTGATACAGCAGCTGATATCAACTACGACAAACTGGGCCAAGACAGCCTAGAACTGACAATTCTAGCTGTTGTCTGGTACATATCTCCGGCACGGCATAAGTCTGGCGCTTCGCAACGCACATGACTTCATTACGGATTGCGAGTTCCTTACCTCGGATCCGGACATCACATGCACACAAGCATCCCTGCTTGGCTAGGAAGGTGGTAGTCCAACATGGGATTGAGACCGGGATCAACGCTGTCAAATAAAAAGCCAAGACACCAAATTCAAGTCAGCCTTGCTGGATACTAGAACAAATACACTGGGTGTAGCCAGTATGCAATACTGCATTGAGGCGCTGAAGGGTGGGAAAATTATGAAGAGCACTGGCCGGAGAAGAGTTGGCTATCCGGTGCCACAAAGGAGAAGACAAACCGTAGTAGTAACCAGACGACAGTATCCATAAAAGCGCTCTATCTAGCGTTGGTGGGATGAATATAATATCGAACCAACACACTCAGTTTGAGAAGACAATATGCATCTCGAGACATCTGTCGACGCCAGGATCGTTGCAGTCAGCTTATACTGACTTGGCGTAATATAGACCCCGCATTTTGGTCAACTCTGGGGTGCATTGCTGAACAGTGTGAATATCAGACGCAGAATACTCTCGGGCACAAGGGAACCAATCTGGTTCAGCCGGACCGACAGTGCGCAAATGGCGGGAGTTGGAGCTGCAGCCTTGATTGACGTCAGGACGCTAGCCATGCTACGCGAGACGCGCCCTGTCGAAACATCGCTGCAACAATTCCAGCCTCGGTGGAAATTGTACTACTGGCCACATTGATATACTTGTGATACCCCAATCTGTTTCTTTCTTTGCATCCAGAAACACTGCGGTACCCAGTTCATATCCTTTTGCTTTTACCGGGTCCGTAAACTCGGATTTCTAGCCACGTAAACGAAAATCTACCCAGCGATAACAGAATACATACTCCACGATAAGATGTCGATGATATCGCAGACGCTGCAAGGTGCAGCACTCAGCGTAACGTCCAACGTACTTGCGCAAGCCATATCATCCTACAAAGACGACGTACGCGCTATTGCGGAATTTCTTATGTGAAAGCCATGCAATTGACATCTGCCCTAGACGCCCTTCGCCCTCAATTACCAATCCGTACTCAAATTTGTCGTCTTTAGCGTTCTCAGCACGCCGCCCAATATCATTTGGCAGGGCTTCCTCGAAGATCAATTTCCCACAAATGTCCCGTCAACGCCGGCTTCCGCCTCATCCGAGAAATCCACGTCCAAATCCGCGCCTACGAAGACATCTATGAGTAGAAGAAATGTCTTGATTAAGTTTATCCTTGATCAGACGATCGGCGCCGTTGTCAATACGCTCATGTTCGTGAGTTATATGGCGTATGTTAATGCCCAGGGTAAACCGGGCGTAAACGTTTCGGATGTGGTTACTAGCGATTGCATCAACAAGACGTGGCCTATGATGAAAGATGGATACAAGTTCTGGCCGGCGATAAGCCTTATTAGCTTCCTGTGGATCCCTGTGGATAAGAGGATTGTTTTTGGAGCCTCAGTGGGTGTTGTGTGGGGTATCTATCTTAGTCTGGCTGCGAACGCATAGTTCCGGCTATGAGAGCTTTATCCATACCTTCAGATGGATATGCTTTTCGAAGATGAAGTCACGACCTTACGAAGAGGCTCGGTATGTGTCAGTGCTCAATCAACTGTTCGAATATTTTCAAATTTTCCGATTGAACCACATCCCGTTGAAGATTTCTTTTGAAGTAATCTTCGTTACATCTTCGGTAGCGATGCTAGATTTGCATCTCAGAGCCATTGCCAAATATCATGCAGCTGTCTTGTTGACCTCTGCAGCCACTGACGGACTTTAGGATAGTAATCTGGTATACCTAGTGGGTTGACAAGGATGATATCTGTCATATTGGCCCACCCAGATTCATGGTGCAATCCCAATGGAACTAGCATCGTTAGAGCGCGGGCTGATGCATACTAACAAAAAGTCTAAGATAGCCAGTGAGAACAGAGAGACCAGCACATGTTGAGTACATGACCACAGCGTGACAGTACAGCAGTGGTGAGAGTCTCTGCCAACGCGAACTAAATTACTAAACATCATTGAAACGACTGGCAGCCTTTTTATTGCCACAACAAACTGGGAAGACAGCTAGAATAGATCCACAGTGACCAATTCAGCAGATTAAAGATTTAAAGGTTGACTTCCAGCGCTCCGACCTCACCCAAGCCGTCATCTACTGGTAATTGGACGATGAACATGTCCATAAAAAGGATCTATCCTACATCCACACGGCATCTCCCACACACTCGCTCTCCATTCTTTGCATTTCTGTTTTTTATAGTACACAATGGACACTACCCCTTCGACAGCCGTGTCCAGCTACCAGAACCCATACAGGGGTGAATTCTTTCGATCACGGCGCGTTAAGCCTGAAGACGTTCAGCAGCCGTGGCTCGACAAGAAGCATCCCAGACAGATATGGGTTACTATCTTCCCCCTGCTTGGCCTGGCTCTTGGCTTGGCCGTAACAGGAATACTCATCTGGGATGGATTGAGGTCCGTTGCGCAGCACGGCTACTGTGAGATTCTCAACGAAAACTTCACTTCTTGGAATGAAAGTCTCTGGACAAAAGAGATCGAGCTTGGTGGCTTTGGGTAGGTTACAGCACTTAGATGTGCCGTAGCTCGTGACTGACTTCGATATGCAGTAACGGGCAATTCGAGATGACTACCGGCACACATGAGAACGTCTTCATCGACAATGGCGAGCTCGTCATAAAGCCTACAGTCCAGAATGAGGAATTCATTATGCAGGACCACATCATTGATCTCCACGGTCACGGCTGTACTGGTCTTGCCTGGGAAGACTGCTTTGCATCTACCAACACAACAAACGGTACTATTGTCAACCCTGTCAGATCCGGTCGCATCAACACCAAGCTCGGTGCTTCGATCAAGTATGGACGCGTCGAGGTCGTTGCCAAGCTGCCCACTGGAGACTGGCTGTGGCCTTCCATTTCTATGTTGCCCAAGGACAGTGTATATGGTCCCTGGCCCCGCTCTGGTGAGATTGATATTATGGAGTCGCGTGGTAATGCACCTGGCTACGCTCAGGGTGGAAACAACATTGTCTCAAGTACACTGCAATTCGGCCCCGACTCTAACCACAATGGCTGGTGGCGTAACAATGTCAAGCGAAAGGCGCTGCACACCACGTATGCGGCTGGATACAACACCTTTGGTGTCGAGGTTCGTTTCATTATTTATTTGAATTCCAGCAAAGTGACGCTAACCCAAAATCCAGTGGTCTGAGAAGTACATCTTTACGTATATTAACACACGCCTTCTCCAAGTCATGTACACGCATTTCGATGAGCCATTCTGGAAGTACGGTGGCTTCCCTCTAGCCGACGCTAACGGTACCCGTCTTGACAACCCGTGGGCGCACACCAATAGCAACACATCACCCTTTGACCATGATTTCTACCTTGTCATCAACCTAGGTGTCGGATCAACAAACGGCTGGTTCGAAGATAGCAAGAGCGGTAAGCCATGGATCGACAGAAGCGCCCGTGCTAAGCTTGATTTCTGGGAGGCGAGGAACCTGTGGTTGCCTACGTGGAAGGATGGTGGGCAGATGAAGGTCAAGAACGTGAAGATGTGGCAGCAGAATGGACACAATGGTTGCAAGGTTTGAGTCCTGGGCCAGTCCACTAGAAGGAAATCTTTGACCCACTTTCTTCATCACGACTTAGGAATCAGTTGCTTACTTGCGCTTACTGTGTTTTGGCATCACTGCATCTAGGCTATAGATTCGCAGACTAATACGTGCTCATGATACACATCGATAATATAGATCTTTGTCTCCACTCGCCCAACTTACTCCAGAGTCTTTCTTTAAAAAAAACTCGAGTTTAATACCCCTCTAATGACCACGCGATAGTTCTATGCAGCGTGCTGCATGCAATGTACTCAGAGACTATACTATGCACCAGCCTCCAACTCGAAGAACCAATCTCCAAACAGTTACGTTTACATGCAACCATCCAAGTGTAACATAAAGAGATGTTCAGGAACACAGTGAGTCAGCAACAGAACCCCGAAGATCTTCAATTTTACTATCGCGTTCGGAAGGTGGCTTTGACGCCCGGCTTACCTGTTTGGGCTACAACAACAGCAACCTCTCCACCTCGGAGATGCCTTATCGTCAGCACCTCCAGGTCCGATGTTTGCTCTGACTCTTTGAACATAGTCTTCAACCCCGAAGTATTCCGAGATACTATTGAAATTCACATATCCTCCAGTTCACAGTTTCCTTTCAAAAAACCCCCCGGAAAAAATATTAATTGTGACAAAATACTTCCCCTCATTCACACCACATCATCAAAGTCTGACCACAAACCGGACCAGCATATACCTGGCCACCGCATCGCCCGCAACCATGCCCTACGCCCCCAAAATCGGCGACCCCATCGCCTCGCTAGACACTCCCTCCATGATCGTCGACCTCGACATCATGGAATCCAACCTCCAAGCCTTAATGTCCCAACTCCTCCCCACCGGCGTCTCCATCCGCCCACACTTGAAAACCAGCAAATCCAGCATCGTAGCCCAGAAAATGGTAGCCGCGGGCGCAAAAGGCGGCTGCGTCGCCAAACTTTCCGAAGCCGAAGTAATGTGCACCAACGGCTTCTCCGACCTCCTCATCACGTGCGAAGTCGTTGGCGCCGCAAAAGTTCAGCGCTTAGTCGAGCTACTCGAAAAGTACCCCAGTGTAAGGATTGTGGTGGATAGTGTGCAGGGCGCTGCTGCTATCGACGGTGCGCTGGCAGAATGTGGGTTTAAAGGGAAGGACGTCAAGACGCTGGTGGATTTGGATGTCGGGCTTCATCGGACGGGCGTGCAGCCGGGGGCCCCGGCGAAGGAGCTTGCGGCGTTTGTGGCGCAGACGAGGCATTTGGAGTTGATTGGGGTGCAGGGGTATGAGGGCCATTTGCAGCATGTGCATGGATTGGAGGCGAGGAAAGAGTTGTGTTTGGAGAGTATGCGGGTGCTGGTTGAGACGGCGGAGGCGCTGAGGAAAGAGGGGCATAAGATTGACGTTGTTACTACAGGGGGAACGGGGACAGCGGAGTTCTGTGCGAGGGTGCCTGGGGTCACGGAGGTGCAGCCTGGGTCGTTTCTTTTCATGGATACGGATTACAAGAATGCAGTTGGGGGGCATCATTTCAAACAGAGTTTGACCATTTTGTCGACGGTGCTGAGCAAGCAGGGTCCCAATGTTATTACGATTGATGCCGGGTTGAAGAGTTTGACGACGGATTCGGGGCTTGCGGAGTGTAAGACGCAAGGGTATGAGTATGGGGTGTTGGGTGATGAACATGGGAGTCTCAAGTGGGAAGAGGGAAAGGCGAGCGAATTGAGGATAGGGGATAGGGTGGAGATGATTCCGAGCCATATTGATCCCACGGTAAATCTACATGATGTGTATTATGCTCACCGGAAGGGAGTGATTGAAGAGATTTGGCCGGTGGACACTCGGGGATGTGTACAGTAGAGTCAGTAGTTGGAGCTGTAATATACAACACGAATTTCGCTATGAAACAATTGGAACTATAATACAACATGTGAAAATCCAAACGAAACAAAGAAACGAGTCAAAACTATTCCTAGTTATTCCCTCCAAAACACGCGGTAAATGACCCCCCTATGGCTTGAAATCTACCAGGTTGTTTTTCAGATCCTTGGCTGGTATATCTGCGAGGGGATCTTTGTGATTAAACGCCCACTTCGCTCGTTCAGCTCGAGTCATCTTGGTGATATCGTATTGTTCCCCGCCCATTATTGGCTCTCGTCTTTTCTTGTATGTCTGGAAGACCTTGACCCAATTCCAGACATCATCCTCTTTCTCTGTATTTTTACCTTTACTGCTCTTTAGATTCGACGATCCAGATGTCTTGTCCGTTGCTTTTGGATGCTCATTTTCCTTTCCATTGTCTTCCTCCCGTATTAATTTCAATACGGGATTGTCATCGTACGTCACAGGGAGATTTGCTACAGAATTTGGCACATCAGCTTCCTCGTTGTAATTGTTCACCTTCTTCAGTTTCTCAATCCTTAACTTCGTCGTCGACAGGCCCTTGGCTGGATCCAGATTGCCCTTCTCAAAGTAGCTTACAACGTGCTTGCGCCAGGCTACACAGTCGCCCTCAACACCATAAGCAGGAAGATCGTACGATACCTCCATGTAATAGGCGATAACGAGGGCCAGGTCGATAAAACGTGAGTCTGGCTTGAGTTCGCCTGCCTTCTCCACGGCCGCAAGGGTTGTGAGTAAAGCACAGCCAAGAAGGCCAATGAACATTGGTACATCTTCAGCTTCGCCCTCAATCAGTTGGCTAACGCAATTCCCTTCATTGAGCCATAAACCCACAGCACTAATGATGACCCACATCTCTTCGAGGCGTGTAGGCTCTTTTGATTGATAGGCCTTGTTAAACTCGATCATCTTTAGATTAATTAGCGTGCGACTGATACGCGTGTTCAATACAACATCACATACCATGTTCTCTCCAATCTCAATTATACCCCAACTTGTCCAATCGGTGTAAATGTGCATGTGGAAGTTGTCAGGGTCACAGTACTCAGCTTTCTGGATCAGGAAGTTTCTCTTGAGCCATGCACCCCACATCATGACCCACTTGCGTCCTGGATGGTTCTCAGGTGGGGACATGTAGACACCGTCTTTCTTTTCCTGCTCCCATTTGGGTTTGTACAGCTTGTTATAAACATCTTCCTCTTCGACATGGGCTGACGGATTGATTGACCATGTGAGCCAATTCTCACCCTCGACATCAAAGAGGGGGCGAGGGATGCAAACATAGTCATATGGCGCTAATTTCTCAAGTTCTACCCGCTTGCTCGCGTTCTGGCTCTCATCACTCGCACTTTCCGTGCTCTTGCGCTTGTTGTTTTTGCGTGGGCGCACAGATTCAAAGGCAGAGTCTGAGCTGTCGCTGTGGGCATCTTGCGTGGAGACGCCAGAGTGGCGCGAACTCTTCTGTTTCTTAGCTGGAGGCATGTTCGTTGATGATATCTGGGATGAAAGATGCAGTGTCGATACGAAGAAGTACCCAATGGTTCTCTTAAGGCGTATGTGCGTATCATGAGATCAGACAGTAGATAGTTAACTATCGGCTAGTTGATGACATCAATGGGCCACGTCATCGCGGGCTTGAACCCCTGACAATCGCGAAACATTCACGACAACATGTGAATCGTGTTGTCGAAGCTTCACGACGCGACTATGAGAAATTTGGTATGTTGCGGAAAAAAACAAAGCATCAAATATCAGGTTGCATCTGTTGCTCTTCAAATTACAATGGGAAACGACGTACGGGGGTCCCACGGTACGAAAGAGACACGGACGCGTCCAAGACAGTGTGCAAAAAAGCAAAGGCATGTATGTGTGCCATCACCAACATCACGATAGCAAAAAACGAAGCTGTCCCGTGCCAGACTCGAACTGGCGGCCTTGGGATTTCTACTCTTAGAGTAGTCATAGCATGGAGGATATGAGACCCACGTGATAACCAACTACACCAACGAGACTTGCGCGAACAGTCGTTCGCGTTGGTGATACTTCGATGTAAGATCCTGCAAAACTTATGGCTATATTGCATGCACCATGCATCCCCCGTAAGCTGACCACTCCGACCTCGGCCCGCATCCCATGTGCAGCCCAAAATTTTGGGCGTTGCGTCACGCCTTAACAGTCATGCCTCAACAAGCACTCCAATGCTAATTGTTTCACACTACCCTTCCTCTTCTTTTTTCTCATAGTGTTTGTTATTCGCAATGGCTGCACGAATTGCTTCCAGGACGGTTCATTCTATATTGCGTACGCCGCGCATCAATGGCACGTATGCGCGATTTGCTTCAACAGCGGCTGGGCTGAAAGGTTCAAGTCTGCCACAGGATGTCCTAGACTCAATAGCTGTAAGCCTACCATCAATTTGGAGTATGGTGTTTTCTATAACTTATACTTTCTAGCGCGATGCGTCGTTGCCAACACCCGATCCGCCTGCCACTTCGAAGACTGCAGGCCTAGTCAGCCAGCAACTTCCGTACATGGTCCCGACCTATGTTCGCCCGCCACCAATGTTCGAAAAGGGAGAAGGATGCTACATGTGGGACATCGAGAACAGGAGGTATCTTGACTTTACCTCTGGTATTGCTGTCAATGCTTTGGGACACTGTGATGCTGGCGTAGCGCAAGTCATTGGAGAGCAGGTAAGATATACGATCCTAACGAATGCTTGAAATCAACTGACATTGATGTAGGCTAAACAACTAATTCATACTTCGAACCTCTATCACAACCCGCACACAGGTCTTCTCTCGAAACAACTCATCCAACTCACGCATGCGACAGGAGGATTTGCTAGCGCAACCCGCACATTCATATGCAACAGTGGTTCCGAGGCAAACGAGGCTGCCATTAAGTTCGCGCGCAAAGTGGGCAAATCTGTTTCTCCAAACAAAGACAAGCATGAATTTGTTTCGTTCCATAACTCGTTCCACGGCCGTACTATGGGAAGTTTGAGCGCAACACCCAATCCAAAATATCAAACTCCATTCTCGCCTATGGTTCCTGGCTTTAGATACGGAAAGTTCAACGATGTAGACGCTGTCAATGAGTTGGTCACAGACGCAACATGCGGCGTCATTGTTGAACCCATCCAGGGAGAAGGAGGAGTAAACGTAGCGACGCCTGAGTTCCTTATTGCACTACGAAAGCGCTGCACAGAAGTCGGTGCCGTCCTTATATTCGACGAGATCCAGTGCGGCCTCGGACGAACAGGCACCTTCTGGGCCCACGGTGGCTACCCCAAGGAGTGCCACCCTGATATTGTGACTACCGCCAAGGCATTGGGCAACGGTTTCCCAATTGGTGCCACTATTGTCAATGACTATGTGTGCGACCATATCAAGACTGGTGATCACGGCACGACATTCGGAGGCAACCCTCTCGGATCGCGCGTCGCTTCCTATATTCTATCACGTCTTTCTTCTCCAGAGATTCTCGACTCGATACCCGCCAAAGAGCAAGCATTTCGCAAGCACTTTGATGCCCTACGAACCCGTTTCCCGAGTCAGATCAAGGAAGTTAGGGGTAAGGGATTAATCCTTGGTCTCCAACTGGACACGGACCCTACGCCCATCGTCACAGCTGCCCGCGAACGAGGTCTTCTAATCATCACTTGCGGTACAAATACGCTGAGGTTTGTCCCTCCACTCGTGATTACTGAGGCACAGATCGAGGAAGGCATGCAAATTCTAGAGAAAGCAATGGAAAGCGTGTGGGTTGAAGGCGACAATGTGAAGCCTACCACAGGCCAGCAGGAGATGCGGTAGATTGTTAGTATTAGCATGGCGTATTGGCGTTCTGGGCTTGTGCTCTGCAGTCTGCAGAGCTATGAAAAGTATTTTATTATGCTACCGTTTGTAGATCTTCTTCATAGAATCAGACCTTGTAGACGCTCAGCTAATCACACTAACCAAAAGTGTTAGCGCGAAACGTCCACACCGTGCACCTCGCAGTTGCCTTGACTCTCTCACTACTCATATCGACCAACAAAGTCTGTTTTGAAGTTCGTCTTTTCATTCCGAGGCTCAATTCTTTCTGTCTTCTGAGTTGACTAATAATTAATGTTCGAAATCAGTGAACCATTCGTGGTTCCCAGGCTTCCCTCCTGGGACGGAACTAGTATTCCACGTACTAATGAATCCCCACGAGCGGCGCCAGGCACCACAAGTAGCGAACAAGTAAATACCAAGGATTGTCCCGCATCTGATTTGCCACAGTTCACAACTACACTGTCGACTGTAGCTAAGCAAATATCAATCACCTCAGCCTCATTGAAAGATGACCTCACCCAAAGCTTGGCTGCAAAGCGGCAGGATATTGATCGCTATATCGCTCTTGGTTGCCTTCACTTTCAAAAGTCGCTCCTCCCATCTCATGAATCCCAAGCAGATACTAAATGGATGGAGTTGCTGTATCATGAGCTCCCAGAAGAGGTGAAATCAATCATTGGCGACGAAGCTTCCAGGCTGCTCGAGGCGCACTGGATACGGCTCTTTCTGCACAATTTTGCGCCTGGTACTGCTCCTTTTCAGAGTTCAGTAAGGGTATATTTGATGCCAGAAGATTGGGGTCGCCGTTCTATTGATCGCAACAGCAAGAAACTGAAGGCTACCTTAAGGCAACTCCTCAAATCCATTGACATTTCAACAAAGGCCTGGCACGGTGACCCCGATGAAAAGGAAACACACTATTTTGACCCCTGGGCTGAAGCCGAACTTTCTTCGCTATATTATTTGTTCAACAAGTTACCATCACCATCGCCAGATCCAGGAGAAATTAAGGATCGATATACAAGAGCTGCTGTAAATGATCTATTGGAATCCGCGACAGCCTCAGGATGGGAAGAGTATGGCGAACAATCACTTCCGGGGCTACGAACTAGATTGTATGCCTATCAAGCTCGTTCTGCAAGCGCGATGTTGCAGAGGGAGGCGGCACCTCAACTACAGCTTGATCCGAGGTTAGAAGTACGTTCGTCTCCTGATGGCAGGAAATTCTACTTTGGGAGCCGTGACGGATCTTTTTTGCACGAGCCTCGATATTACGAAACCACCCGAGGAGGGATTTTGGCAGAAACTATGGGCTTAGGAAAGACCGTCATCTGTCTAGCCGTAATTCTGGCTAGTAAACACCATCTACCCAAGATACCCGTAGCCTACCGACCACCCCCTCCCGTTCGCCGCCACGTAGGAACGTTATCAGATGTGGCGGCGTCGATCCTTGGGCGCTATTCTGTACCTGCACGGGGCTTTTTGGAGCAGTCCGAAACGAATGGCGCCGGAGACATGACGAAATATCGAAATGCACTTGACCGAAACATCCCGTTTTATGAAATTCCGGCTGAGCTTTCTAGGATAAACAGAAGTGTCAGGATACCTCTATCCCGTCAGCTGATAATATCATCCGGTACCATCGTTGTCGTACCGAGAAATCTTCTACACCAGTGGCAGTCAGAGATAAAAAAACATGTGCTCCAAGGTGGTCTTAGAGTGCTAGTTCTAGACACTGTGACAAAGCGCGGGAGCAAGGTACAGAGTAATTTGTACGACAACGATAACATGCAATTCCGGAGCGAGTTGCCAGTCCCCACCGAACTGATGAAGTTTGACGTACTTCTCTTTACGCGTAATCGATTTGAACAAGAGATCCAGGACGGACAGGACGATCAAGGGCGACGAGCAGTCCGTGGAGTAACCCGAGCTTGTAACTGTCCATACATTGGGGCCAGTAGGATTCCTGATTGTAACTGTGTCGACTACGACAAATTCTACGAATCGCCACTGAAGAAGGTTCACTGGTTGAGAATCATCATCGACGAGGGTCACTCATTCTCTAGTTCTTTATCAAATGCGGTATTAGTCGCAAAACAAATCGAAGCAGAGAGGCGCTGGGTTGTATCTGGCAGTAAGTAATTGTAAAGAAACCCGATTGTGCTTACTGATTTTCATCTACAGCACCTGCAAAGAATTTGGTCGGTGTAGAGGTCGATATGGCTACCATGGAAACTGAAAGCGACACTGGACTGCAGCGCGAGCTTGCTATTGAGCAAAGGAAGTCGTTCAATCTCGACCCTGATAACCTCAAGGCTGCTAAAGCTTTAGGAGTTCTGGCCTCAAATTTTCTCATGGCCCGTCCCTGGTGCGATAGCTCTGAAGGCAAACTTGACTGGGAAGAACACATCTATCGCCATGAGCACCGATATCGAAAGACCTACTCTGGGTTTTCATCCTGCTTTTTACGGACACTAGAAGGCTTGGTCGTGAAGACACGGCCAGAAGATGTTGAGAGAGACATCATTCTGCCTCCCATGCGGCATCGCATTGTGTTTCTCAAGCCGTGTTGGTATGACAAAATGACAGCAAATCTCTTTGTTCAAGTACTCCGCGCGAATGCCATTACGAGCGAAAGGACTGATGTTGATTACCTTTTCCACAAGAACAGCGTCAAGGAGCGTCATGCCCTGATAAGAAATTTGCGTCAATCGTACTTTACATGGACTGGATTTAGTTTGCTCGACATTATCGCCACAATTGAAACTAGCAGCAAGTACTTAGCCAAAGAGGGCATAAATTGCTCCATTAAAGATTCACGGGCTCTGCTCGAAAGCTGTCAGGTCGTATCCAAGTTGACGACTTCGGAAGGTTGGAAAGCGCTAAGCAACGCGCACGAGGTGGGAATCGCTGTCAAAGATTGGCCCAAAGAATCACGCAGTACCTTTGCACTCGGTGATTCAGCAGAACCTACAATGATCGGCATTACACAACTGATCGAAGGACAGCTCCATGTTGATGGCAACCTATTGTCACATGACCCTGCTGTCGGGCTTGAAGCTGTGGGATGCGAAGCCAAAGCCAAGGTCGTAGCGATGGCAGAAGCGGAAGGCAGGGATCAAGATAGCGACGAAAAGATAATGGCAGACTCGCCCTCGAACAAAGCCGGGGTGCCATTATCATTAATTGATGGCCACCAATCACCAACAAGTCGGCGGAATCTCGTAACGGCTGGCACGCTTTCTTCCCAGAGACAATCAGAAAACAGTTCCCATGATAATGCATCAGGGGTGACAGTTGTCACATCTTCACTTCGCTCCAAGAAACGCAAGCTCACTTTAGCGGACGAAACGGCAAACCTGCCTACGAGCTCGCCCTTACATGATACTCACATAGTGGGCACGACTTCCGCTAAACTCAGCTATTTGCTAGACAAGGTAATGCAACATCAAGCCACTGAAAAGATCATCATCTTCTACGATGGTGATAACGCAGCATGGTACATAGCACAATGCCTTGAGCTCATGTACGTCAATCACCGAATCTACGCTAGGAATCTCGACAACACACTGCGGTCTGAGTATGTGCGACTATTCACCGAAGATCCGGACGTTCGCGTCTTAATGATCGATGTCGCCTGCGGTGCTCTTGGGTTGAACCTGAATGCAGCGAGTATCGTACTCATTTTGAATCCGATCAACAGACCCAACATAGAGGCTCAAGCAATCAAGCGAGCACATCGCATAGGCCAGACGAAAGAGGTGCTCGTTGAGACGTTGGTGCTTGAGAATACGATTGAGCATTCCATCTTCAACCGCGCGAAGAAGATGACACGAGCGGATCATCAGGAAGCAAAAGAGCTAGAAGATGATGTTGGTATCGTGGAGATTATCCAAAACGCGCAGATACTGCCAGTTGAGGAGGATGAAGGTGAAGGATTATCTAGCTTTGCTCTACTGCAAACTCCCCAGAAGGTATTTGGACGGCCGAACCGACACAAGTATCATCGATTTGGTGGTACGGGATCGAAATCGGTCGAGAAACCCTCGAAGAAAGCTAGGATTCCAAAGAGTGGTATGAACAGTGCTAAGGAGGTGGTGCCGACAGAGACTAAGATGCCACCAGAGCGAGAACCGGCTGAGACTGTTTTTCCTCAAGTATACAAAGTCGTATCGGGGTTAGGGTCTAGTATGTTCGGCAGTGGGTAAGGGAAATCTTGATATCTGACCAAGCTCGTACGGTAGAGAGTCCTTGTCATTTATGTTCTCCACCAGGACGCATTTGAACACAAGTACCATCTGCACGACATCCGGTCCCATCTAGGCTGTACCCGTTATCCCGATATTTGAACATTATGTGGAGTTACCACTATTAACGAAGAATGGGGATACCATAGTTTAATTATTAGTCCTGTTTCTTCGTGCCGTCCACTCCTTGTCCCGGTGTTTGCGGTAGTTTCACGACAAGGGTATTTAATATCTGCTAGTCAATGCATCCACGCGTGACGCGACCGCAATCTATCCGCGATATTACAATCCGGGTGGCGACAAAAGCCAAAATTGATTACAGGCTCAGAAACAGAGTATTAGAGTCGTGGTTCTACCGTCATGAATTACCTGCAGTTGAGTCCTCGACACTGCACATCACCATGTTGACGTTATTCGCACCACTTTTGCTCCTCGCACAAAGCGCTGCCGCTGCGCCCGTTGAGAATGTCGCCGCAGCAGCAGCGACAGTAGGCAAGATCCGCGGCGTGCGCGATCCGATTTACCATCTATACCTGCAAGCCAGCCCAAAGAATTGTAAGCGCCTTTTTTTCGCTCCGTCCCTACACGTCTCCGCATCCACCACACACACACACACATTCTCACATCCGTTGGACATGGGAGTTTACTAACATCGATTCAGCGTCAAAACCCGTTCTCGGACCTGAATCTGCAGCTGAGGAATTTACTATCGGTGGGACAATTCAATCCAAGAAAACAAATCAGTTCCTGAATATTGCTACTGCGTCGACGAGTTACAAGCCGCTGGTTTGGGGCGCAAAGGGTGAAACGACGGCGTGGGGGCTCGAGGGTGATACGATTATTACAACGCAAGGGAGTAGCTATGGGCGACGTGAGTTAATCCCTTCCCTTTCATATGTGACATAGTTCCTTTAGTGGTGGCAGGTTTCTTTTGTGAAAGGGATGCAGTGCTAACGTAGGGTATGCCTTTTTCTAGAACTGAATTTCCTGGTCTGCAACTCCGCGGATGCTGGATACTACGATTTGTTTCTGCAGACGGGGAGCGATGCGCCGAGTGGGAAGACGTGCAGTAATTATCAGACTATTCATCTGCCGTGTTTGTGCTAGATGGGTTTGCAGTCTGTTCATTTTGTTGTTTTTTGCTGGCAAGCGAAACGAAAGAGGGAGTCGGACCGGATGTTCAGCCCACGTTGATCGATTTGTACATATGCAACGTTGGGGTTTTATGGCTTCAGAATCAGAGCCGTCAGGAGACATTGGACTTCTGGGTTATGGGACAGTCAAGTTAACGCTGAAAGGGATAGTGCGCGGGGCAATTGGGGCATAGTCTCCACCTTGTGATTAGTGACGTATCCATCTTGTTAACTCCGAACAGCGTTGGTGGTTCCAGCGATGATTAATATAGTGCTCGGAGTGGGGGGAGATATCTTTTGACATACGTGTGGCATTCTTTTTTCTCTCGTTATCCAATTCTCTAGTGACGGAATCATAGCACTTAAAATGTCTTACAGCAGGGTCGGAGTCGTCACCGGTGCAAACAAGGTACCTGATTTCTTTTTCTGTCTTGAATCCTTGAATGACATATACTGACTTTACCAGGGCATTGGCTTAGCCATTGTGCGCCAACTTGCACTCCAGTATCCTAAGTCGCCGCTGAATAATGGGCCCTTCTTGATCTACCTGACTGCCCGCGACCAAAGCAGAGGAGAAGCAGCTGTGAAGAATCTTGAGCAAGACGCGCAACTCAAGCAAGCAAAGGCACTCAAAGCCGATGGCGGTCTCTCAGAAATCAAATTCCACCTATTGGACATCACAAGCAGCGACAGCATCAAGACACTGGCAGATCACCTGAAGCAAACCCACAGCGACGGCATCGACTTTGTCATCAACAATGCTGGCATCGCCCTTGACGGCTACAGTACGAACAGCACCCTAACCCAATATTTATGCATGACAACTGCTAACTCCCACTCTCTTAGACGCAGACCTCGTGAAAAAAACACTAAACTGCAACTACTACAAAACCCTCGAAGCAAGCCACACCTTCCTGCCCTTCCTCAAACCCACCGGTCGCCTCATCAACGTCGCCTCCATGTCCGGCAAACTGAACAAGTACTCCGAACCCGTCCGCACCCGCTTCTTGAGCGCAAAATCCGAAGCCGACATCACCGCCATCATGCAAGATTTCGTTGCCGCCGTCGAAGCCGGCAAAGAAAAAGAACGGGGGTTCCCGACAGCGGGATACGCAGTCAGCAAGGCGGGACTGATTGGCGCGACGAAGATACTGGCGAAGCAGGTGAAGGAAAGTGGGAGGGAGGGTGTGTTGGTGAATGCTTGCTGTCCAGGTTATGTGAATACGGAGATGACGAAGGGGAATGGAACTAAGACACCGGATGAGGGAGCGCAGACGCCGGTTTTGCTGGCGTTGGGGGATATTGGGGGTAAGACGGGCGGGTTTTGGCAGGAGGAGAGGGAGATTGATTGGGTTGGGGAGTTGAAGGGTTGAACGTTTAGATATAATGAAAGGGAATAAATACAAGATTTTTGGACGGGGTTTTGGCATCGCTGATGCTTGTTTTATGTGTGGTTGAACTTGGGGGAAGTACTATGATGATATCTTGAGAAGCTTTCTCAAAGTATTGTCGATCAGCTAGGAAAATGGCGAGTGCAAAGGCGTTGGAGTCCCGAAACTACACATGCGGTCAGGATGAGGAGTTGGAAAGGTACATACTGTACATACGCAGAGCGCATCAGCATACCACTTAATGTCTTGCCGACACTGCACGTGTGCAAATCCAGAAATTTATTGATGCAGTCATTACCACATGAACGGACTCACGGGAGGAATGGCTACGACGGTTGCACCCGGCACTAGTGGTCCGACAATGTTGCTATATCTATGATTTAGAGCATGTTCAATTCAACTAGATGTACAGTATTCACTTGCAATATCTTCTTGAGTCTGTTCTTAATAGCATAGCCTCTTGAGGCACAAAGGCGGTTGAATAACCTGCTGAGCAACGCGAATGAGAACAAACAGAACCACAACAAAGTCTGTTTTATTCATGTACATGCATCCACAACAACTAAGACACTACCAAGTCATCGTACAACAAGCTCCTTCACTTCTACCGCCAAAATGCAAGTCCTTTACTCCCTCTTCATGAAGCCTCCAGCTCCCTAATCCTCTGCTCGATATCCGGGACAGCTCGGAGCTGCAAATCGATATCTTCCTTCTCACTACGCACACGTTAGTACTCATCTCTTCAACCAAAAAGGAATAAACATCTTAAGCAAAAAAGGGGAAAACTTACTCTTCAAGCACAGCCCTCCTCTCAGCATCCAACCCTCCAAAGTAAAACCCTCCCTGGCCATCAAACTGCAAAATCCGGCAATGGTACTTCCATAAACTGCGCCTGTGCGAGACAGTCATGAGGGTAATGCCTAGTTTCTTGGCTTCTTCGTACATGATTCTCTCCACCTCGAGCGTCACGCTGCTCGTGCACTCATCCAGAATCGCGTACCGCGGCTTGTGGTAGAAGAGTCTGGCCATAGCGACGCGCTGCTGCAAGCCACCGGAAAGTACGTCTTCCCACTGAGCTTCGGCGTCAAAGCCGCCGGGGCGGTCAACCAGCGACTCGAGATTGAGTACGGCGAGTACGGCGAGTAGGTGGTTGTCGGTGATGGACTTGGAATGCATGTCGTGTAGAGAGTCTGGGTAAATGATTTGCTGGCGGAGTGTACCACGAGAGAGATATGGTCGCTGCGGGATGTAGAAGATATCTTCGAATGGCGGTTTGCGCACCTTGCCGCCATATACAGGCCACAGGCCGCCGAGGATGCGGAAAAGACTGCTCTTGCCGCAGCCGTTGGGTCCGACAATGAGGAGATGATCGCCGGGCCTTACGTGGAAGGACAGTGCGCGTACGAGAACGTCGCCATTAGGAGAAACGATGGGGACATCGACGAATTCGATGTCTTCGCCTTCAGTAACGGTGCCACGGCCTCGCAGAACGGCAGCATTTTCTTCGGTGTCGGCGGAGGAAACGAGTTTCTTTTCGAAATGACCGGCTTGGATATCGTCGATGACATCCAGGAGAGTGGAGACGCGCGATGTATAGCCTGCAAGTTCAGTGATCTCCTTGTACGAGAACATGACACGACCAAATGCATCGCTGGACATGAGAAGCATGCGGCGATTTGTTACGAAATCTGTCATCGCACTCATTAGCAAGTTAATTCTCTAAAATCTTCCACAATACACATGTGACAACGGTATACATACTCTCTGTGCGATCGCCCATACTCATTCCACCAGTTCCAGGTACCTTGAAAAATACCGGGACACTGCACAGCATCAGGCCCAGAGCACCCCAGAAGTACTTGATAACAAAGTCCTCCATAATGCCATGGTAGAAACGCCGTCTTAGTATCCGGTTCACATGCTTGATCAGTGTGAAATAACCCTTGTCGAGCGTATCTTTTTCCGCCTCATGCCCTCCGTAGAGCGCCACCTCCTCACTCCAGTCAATCAGTCTCGAATGCTGGAATCTAAATTCTCCCTCCAGTCTCGCCTCATCCGCCACGTACTTGCCAAACGGTGGAGTCAGTGCCCTCATGACGTTTGCTGATATCTGCACCAAAAGTGACATGAAAAATAGACCTTCGCCACCGACGCTTCGTGAAAGTGAGTAGTTGTAGATGATGATGTCAAGAACGGGTTTCGCAAGATTCGAATACAGTTCAGCGAGGGAATTGGAGAATTTGGCTACATCGACGGTAATCAGCTGGTCGGCGTTTGCGATGCGGTCGTCGAGGGCGCTCAGCGTGTAAAACGTCATTTGCGAGAGGTACTTGGAATGGATGTAGTTTGTGAGTCGAGTCCGGTATTGCAGAGAGAGTTTGCACTGGTGATATGACAGCTGTTTGCCTTGTTAGCACTCGTCGTACGTCCTGATTTTTGACCCCAGCTAAGAGCGCAGGTTTCACATACCATGCTGTTCGTAAATGTTGCCGGCACAGCAACCGCCATCCACCACACCAAACCCATCAAGAACTCTCTCCCCTTTCCCCTCACAAGCGCACTAACCAGCCGTCCATCCAACTCAGCAACATACAAGCTGATCATCGTCCGTAGCACCAAGAAGACACTATGCCCGATAACGAGTCTGAATTCCTTGCTCTTCCATCCAGGTATACATATCCGTAACAGCCGAAGCAGGTTCTTGAAAAACTCGCGATTCAGCTCGACTTTCTTCCTGCCAGAGGCTTCGCCCTCGCCTGCCGACGTCTTGCTTGCGCCTTTTGAGGCTCTGCGCTGAGCAGCAGCTTTCTGCTCGGCAATAGCATTGCGAATGCGGTTTATGAGAGCTACGAACAAGGTAAGGTAGACGGCGCGCGATATGCGTGTTCGGTGTTGCAGGTAGAGCCGCGTAAGGTCGGACACGATGGCCTTGGCCGAGGCGCTGTTGAGGCGATGGGAGGATATGGGTTTCGAGAAGACGGTCATGGCTATCGTGAGGGAGGCATTGGTGGTGCTTAATGTTAGTCGCCTGAGCGCACGCTGTAGTGACGCGCTTGAGGCGGGGAGGTTAGGACAGCGGTCTGTTGTATGGATGGCACGTCGAGGACAAAGTACGCCTTTGCGCAGATGACTGGAGGATCCTGCGTCTTGGGGATTTGTTGGGAAAAGCAAGGGTCACAAGGTTGATGTGCTCGGGAGAGGATGTTGTTGTCGGTGTCGCACATGCAGCTTGCGGCATGTGAACCGGTGCCTCGGCTACCCCACAAAAACGGAAGCTGGGGAACGGGATCCTTTCACATGAACGGCTAGAGTCTGGAGTAGCTCGGCTCCACTATGCCACATTACAGACCACACACATTCTTTTTTCTTATGGTTAAACGCTTGCTGCAGACTACATCAACTATAAAAATATCCACTTCGCCTAACACGAAAACGGACGTATGTCATAGATCTTGTTCTTCTCCGGGTACGGTGCAGCAGGCTTGTTCACGAATTCCGGATACAAGTACCAGGCCAGATCCTGCTCTTTTTGTTCCCTGATACTCATACCATTGCCTAGCCAGGCCAATCTGTTCGAATATCTACCTACGCCTTTCAATTTGTTATCAGTGTCATGGTCCTCAAGCTCGGCCAGATAGATATAGTCAAAGTCTTCCCATCGCGGACTCTGCATCGCCTCGATGCAGTGTAACGTGCTTCCTGGCCAGAGGCCCACGATCTCCCCAGTACCCTTGTTCTTGTACCAACTCCTGCACTCGTCGACAAAGACTGTCTTCTCAAAGTACGCGTCGACGTACTCGACAAAGTCCTTTTCTCGTGCCTCTTTAGCAACCATGGACGCGATGTTGTCTTTCTGAATCTTGCGAATGGCTTTTATGATATAATCGCCCATGGTCTCTATCATCATTGTCAGGCTACCGGTCCCAACGGCCGAATTAGGGCCAAGCATGCTGAAGAGGTTTGGAAATCCAGCGACTGAATGCGAAAGATATGTTACAGCGCGATCTTTCCACTTTTCTGTCAGGGTAAGCCCATTACTACCGGTGAGTGGGAATGGGGGTGGTGCAGAAGATACAAAGCCAGTGGCGCATACAAGAGCATCAATCTCATGCACCTTGCCGTCAGCAGTGTGAATGGCAGATTCTGAAATGCGAGTTATAGGGGACGTGATAAAATCAATGTTTGGCTGCGTTAGGGCTTCGAGATATCCCGGGCCAGGCGTCAGGCGGCGGCACCCAGGCGCGAACGAAGGCAAAAGCGCCTCAAAGATTTCAGGGTGGCTCTTCAGCCTCTCCTTCATGTTTTGATGGAACATCTCCTTAGCGCCCGATTGAAGAGGCGTTCCTTTCTGGGTAAAGGCATGGATCCCGTTTCCATCTTCTTCAACTGCGAGCCTGAACTCGTGATAGTATTCTGGATCATTGGCAAAGCGATCGCGAAGCTCTTTGGGAATAGTCGTCCCTTGAAAGCCATACTTGTCCCAGAGTGAGTAGCCGAAAGGTGGGGAGATCCATGTCTTACTGCGCACAAATGTGCTGACGTGTGTGCCTGGCAGACGCTGAAGACTGGGTACAATCTGGATGGAGGATGAGCCTGAGCCGATTACTCCAACCCGCTTATTTTCAAATTCATAACTGTTTCGCTGTATCAGTCGACTGGAAGTCAATACGCAATCCAAGCTATAGCTTACTCTTCTTTCCACGCCGCGGAGTGCATGACTTCACCTTTGAAAGTCTTTAGACCATCAATATCTGGCCAAGATGGCGTATTCAAGTTGCCCCTTGCAGAAATCACCACATCTGCCTGATCATGGATGATCTCTTCTGTCACCAGGTTCTTTACTGTGACATTCCATTTGGCCGTCTTGTCATCCCAGTGACAACCCTCAACCTGATGGCGCAGCTTGATGAAACGATCCGCAGAATATTTTTGCGCTACATCTTGGAGATAGGATTGAATCTCTGCTGCTGGCGCATACAAGGATGACCAATTGGGGTTTGGCTGGAAAGAATACTGGTATGAATGCGCTAGCGAGAAGATCAGTACCACTCCAATGATCTTGATGTAAGAGGTGGCAAGACTCACAAGGTATATCGCAAGCGCAGCCCAGGTATCTGCGTTCGTGTTAGTGATCAAATGCTTGTCTTTGACATCAAGTCGGACCCAGTCTCATCGTTCAATCAGAGCCAGTAAGCGGCTGGAGTAGAAGGGAAGGGGCTTCTTTTCACCTGTTTTCATACCAAGTTCCCCCAACCCCAGCATTTTTCTCGTAAATCACCAATTCAACGTTTCTCAATCTCTCAGGTATGCGAATTCCGCAATAGATGCCCGAGTAACCTGCACCAATGACGATGACCTTTAATCGACGCAAGTTCTCGACGGGTGCATCGTAGAGCTTGAAAGGTGTTTGTGCAGTGACGCCATTTACTTGACCATTGAGTTGCATCTTCGGTAGCTCATCTGTAGGTAGATTTGGTATCGCTGACATTGTATTGATAACCGAGGGAGAGTTAAGTTTAGATGGAAGGTGAAGTGCCGTCAGAGATGGTCATGCGACCCGTATCCAAAACTCTATTCTTCAAGATGAGTGCTATGAGATGGTATAGTATACAATTAGAAGGTATATCGAAGACATGGATCGCATAAAGGATGGATGAAAGAAAGACGGAAACGGTAGCGCTTTTTGAGTGGCGGACTGCAGTTCTCATGCTTGTGGCGCCGCGGCTGGCTGACTGCCTCATACAAGTGCCGAAGCAATGGACCCCCAATGTTACGCGAAGACGTCAAGAGTGGATCCAGGCTAGTATCCGGTCCCATATGCGGTAGATTGACTAGGCTGCGACGTTCAGCCTATCATGATACGAAGGCCTCGGCAGCCGGTAGAGGCGTCACCCCCTCTATTCCTTGTGCTTGCCTTGACTCCACAGCTCCACATACGGCCCCGCTATGGGCTTCTCGTGATTTCGGGACCACGTAGTGATGTCTCCGTAGCAAGCCCGGTAAATGGTTCTGATTCTTCTACGCGCAACGGCGCCGATACTCTGCGACAATGCGGGAATACTTTCCCCGCAGACTAAAGTTTGTGCACCGTGGAGGGATGCAGTGGGTGCAGTTCGTGCATCGGTAGGTAAGACTACCTAGGTACTGTGATGATTGCAATCTGTAGATGGCATTAGTGCCTAAGCGCAATCAAGTTCGGGAGGCCTAACATACCTGGTTTCCAAGAGCGATTGATAGCCGAGAGCTGTCTGGGTCCCAACCGAGACTGAACTCGCCATCGATTCCAGGGTTCCATTTGTCACTTGGCCACTCACCAGCCCGCCATGTTGCTACTGGGACGTCCCTTTTTTCTGCATCCCATACAGTGACCGCATCGGGGCCTGCTGCAGCCAACAACACCCCATCCGGTGAAAAGGCAATCTTGAAGGCCTGGGTACCATCCGTGGTGGGAAGAGATTTGACGCATTTGAATGGGTCGTTTGCATCCCATATCCGTGCTGCGCCGGACATGGAGCTTGTTGCAAGCAACACCGAGGGCAGAGCGGAACCATTGGTCAGTTGCTTGGTGGGGGGACTCGGGCGGAACGCAAGATCGGTAGCGTATTCGTCTGGGTATTCGTGGGTTTGCAGCTGGATCGAGTCATTGGGGTGAAAGATACCCAGGTAATTCTTCTGGTCTTCGATTCCGAGCACGGCTATGATACCAGATGCTGGGTCGTGCTTGACGGTTTCCCATTGTATGTGAGTGTCCAATGTCCTCTGGGTCGTCAGAGCGTCGGTGACTTCGTATATCTTGAACAGCTTGATGCCACAAACGACAAAGGCCGAGTCGCTAATCCATTGAGCATCTAGAATGGCTGTGTCGGTGAACTCGGTCCACGCTGGGATGGAATCGCTGTCATTCTTCCACACTTTGATGGATCCCTTTTCCCCGTCTGTGGAAATGGATAATAGAAGCTTGCACTTGGGGTTCCAGCGAAGCGTATTAATGAGACCGGCGGTTGAGGAGATGACATTGGAGGTGGTGCCACCTTCGGTCAACTTGATGAGCTTATCCATCATCATCTTCTCGCCCACTTCATTGACACACTGCTCGCGCGCAGAAACGGTCAGCTCATGCTCGGAATGCCAGCACAGCGCAGTCACGTCAAAATTTTGGACTGGCAGGGACATGTCGAGAGTGTGAATAGGCGGGGGCTGCTCGTTGCTGGCAGGCTTGCTAACAACGTGGACCTGGAGGAGCGACTTTCCGGCAGCAAGCAAAACGGGCGACTCGATTGGGCCCCATAGCGTGTGCTGGACAAGTTTGTCAGGGTTGGTGTGGCGGGGAACAAAAACGGTGCCGGGGGTCAAATCTGCGACGGCGATGGCATCTGTCTGAATCTCGGCGTCCTGGCCGATGCTGAGTGTGGATAGCGGTATCTCTGCGACAGTAAGCGACTCGGCCTCGGACACGACGGGCTCAGAGTCTGCCCTCAGGCTGTTTGGGACGTGATGGGGCACGCCGTTGTGCTCAATGTCCATGGCATCGCCGTTGGGCTGGGGCTCTGGGCGCGTGTCGACGCCATTGGCGGGCTTTGCCTTTTTGCGCTTGAGCGTCTTCTTGGGCGGGGGCTCCTGGACGGCGCCGTTGGCCTCGGTCGCGAGTTCGTGGGCGGGAATGCCCTTGTCGAGGGTCAGTAGGCTGCCGTTGCGCGTGTAGGGGCGGCCGTGGTCGGAGCCAAACCTGTATCGCGGTTCCGTCTGGTATGGTTAGCCCAGGCGCATTTGATGGAGCGGAACAGAGCAGAGGCGACGTACGTTGCAGGCCTCTGCGCGCAGCTGATCGAAGCACAAGCCATCCTGGACGAGGCGGACGAGGGCGTGGGGCTCGATGTTGGCAGCAAATGGAAGCGTGTCCGGGTCTCTGAGCCAGCATCGCGACAGGTGGAGGGCGGCATTACCAAATCCGGCTTCTTGAAGATATCGCCATACTAGACCACGCGTCAGAGAGACAGGCCACTGGGGCGGGTTTTGGCGGGGAATAGGTACCGAGATAGTTGATCGCGTTACTGCTGAGAGTCTCCGCCATGGCGCATTATGCGAGCGCTGCATGCGCCTTGGCTGGGGGGCGTGGGGGAAGGGGGAGGGAGACTGAGGTGTTGGTGGTGGTGGCAGGCGGTTTGGAATGTGAGGAGCTTCGATGATTGACAATGCCTGCCATGTCGCCTATGGACTGCTAGTCTTGTAGGGCAACGCACATGTTCGGCCGGAGCCTGGCTAGTCCCCATCCAGTCCCCCCACACAACCGCGCATCCCTGCCCGGCACTGCAGCACCGCCCAGCTTGACTGTCACCACCACCAACACCACCACCGCCACACCGTCACATCTTCACCACCACCACGCCCACACTGCTCCCCCTCGACAACGCGCCGCCGCCGCTGCAGCAGCTGCCGCCGCCATGGCCCGCATTAACCTCCCGCCCCTTACCCGTGGCATCCTCGCTGCCCTCGTCCTACTCACCCTGCTCAACTTTGGCCTGCGCCCCAACGCCAATTGGGTTGAAAAGGTCGAGAAACCCATCATCGGAGTGGGTAACGGAGTGCCATGGCTGACCATTGTGCCCCGTCTCTCTGTGCCGTGGTATCCCTGGGTATTCGCCCTCGCAACCGTCGTCGAGCAGAACCTCCTCGGTCTCATCACCACCGGCCTGACTGTCTTGTATGGCGGTCGCTACCTCGAGAGGGCATGGGGGTCGCATGAGTTCACCAAGTTCATGCTGTTTGTCGCCGTCATACCGAATCTCCTAACCTATCTGCTCTACGTCCTTGGCTATCTCCTTATGCGCAAGGGCTTTCTCATGTATGCTTCCATCTTGTCTTCTCAACAGACCTTGCATTGACCCGGCCCAGGAAAACCACAATCTCAGGCGGCATTGCCATCCAGGCCGGCTTCCTCGTCTCTTTCAAGCAGCTCGTTCCCGAACACACGGTAGCCATTGCCAAAGGCCTTATCCGCATGCGTGTCAAGCACTTCCCCGCTATCTTCCTGCTCACAAACACCCTCTCTGGCATAATAATCGGCACAGAGACGGCCATGTATCTCGCATATTTTGGCTTCATGACAGCCTGGATCTACCTACGCTTCTATCGCATCAGTCCGTCACTCTCTTCCGCTGCCACGGGCGAAGGTTCCTTCATTCGTGGAGATGCCTCCGACACTTTTAGCTTTGCGCATTTCTTCCCAGAGCCAATACAAACGCCCCTCGGCGCTTTTGCAGACGGCGTGTACAACACATTGGTCTCTCTCCAGGTCTGCACACCTTTCTCCGATCGGGATATTGATGCGGGCAACGAACAGGCCACCGCTCGTGCCGAAGGTGGTCTCCCTAGCATCATGAACCCCAACAGCCGCGGCGGCCGTGGCGGGGCGACACGCGCCGAGGCAGAGAGGAGGAGAGCATTGGCTCTCGAAGCATTGAACCAGAGGCTGAACGCTGCAGCCTCTCGGGGACCAAGTACTGCTACGCCAGCTGCTGTTTCAGTGTCTGGGCCATCACAGTCACTGGGTGAGACAAATTACGAGCCCGATAGGCCCGACGCCTCGGAAAAATCAGCGACTTAGTACAGTCGTTACTACAATTTAACAAAACTCATTGTTCTCGCAAAGCCTCTTCTATTTATGTTATCATCGCATCCGAGCGAACTTTCCTTGACCTTCCAGTAATTGTTGTTTGATTCGAGAACAACGTACTAGACCGGTGCCTCTATGTATTCTTTGTGCTTGCTTTACGCTTTCTAAGCGTTGAACTTGAGGTGCTATTGAATATGCCCCTGAGTCCAGTCAAAGACATGGTGCACATATAGATGTGGCTGGATTGCGAACACCCTTCATGTAAAATGTCACGTGCTGCCTGTACTGGGTCCGCCGCGGAATGCCATGTTAAACCGTTTGCGGCTCAGATGACTGGACGCGGCAGTCTATGCCCTAAGAAAATCTTTTTCCAAAGGCTACCGTCAAACGAAAGAGGGAAAACAATAGGAAAGTAGCACATGTTTCGCCAAATGTGCACATGTGCTATAACATGTGTTTCCCCGGCCAGCACGTACTGTCTCTCCGCAGTCTTGTACGTCGTGGTGCAGTTCAGTCGCAGTGTGGGGTTCTGGGCATGTGGTTGCCGCCAAGGCCGAAAGTGCGGAAGTGCAAGTGCAAGTGCGAGAAAAAATTGTTTATCATGCTGCCCTTTCCCCACTAGAGCGCTCTTACTTTCCAATAACCATGAGCTCGCACGCCATCATCAGCACCAAACGGGACCAGAGACCCGCGACGATACCTCGCAGACGACGAAAACGGCCCCATTGACCATTCAGCTGCCAGAGTCCAAGGTTCTTTCTATACATCGTGACTTCGTGAGACGCGTTTTCTCGACAGGAGCCAATCCGTATTATTATATTTCGCTTTCGGAGAGGCCACTTGCGAACCGAGTTTCTGCACAGTCGTGTACGAGGATATCCAGGGTATGTTGTTGCAATATTTCCTCCATCCCATACCTGTCACTATGATGATCTCGTCATTATTATAAAAGATGTTAGACTTGCGATCACCCATGAGCGCACCAGGACTTGCTGAGAGACAAACCCCGCCTTCACTTTTTCTTCCGCTTTACCCGAAGAAACAGCGCAACTGACGCGTCCTAGTACAAAACTACAGGTACATACCTCGGACATCCTTAGACTCAATACCACGTCAAAATGTGCGGTATCATTGCCGTTATCCACGGCGACCCCAAGTCGCAATCCGCTTCGGTAGAGGTTCACGATGCCCTCTACCTCCTCCAACACCGTGGACAAGACGCTGCTGGTATAGTCAGCTGCAGTGCCGGCGGTCGTTTCCACCAGTGCAAGGGCAATGGCATGGCCTCCAAGGTCTTCCAGGATGGTGCTCGTGTTTCCGATCTCCCCGGCTTCATGGGTCTTGGCCATTTGCGATACCCCACAGCTGGCAGCAGCGCAAACTCTGAGGCCCAGCCCTTTTACGTCAACAGCCCGTACGGTATCTGCATGACTCATAATGGTAACCTCATCAACGCCCCCGCGCTGCGCCAGCGACTCGACCACGAGGCCCACAGGCACATCAACACGGAGAGCGACAGTGAGCTCATGCTGAATATTTTCGCTGATGAGCTCAACGAGACTGGCAAGGCACGTATCAACGCCGATGACTGCTTTGCTGCGCTTGAGAGGATGTACAAGCTCTGCACCGGCGGATGGGCGTGTACAGCTATGCTTGCTGGTATGTAGACGAAATTTGAAATGAGCGCATCAAACATGCTGATTATCTCTAGGATTTGGTCTTATTGGGTTCCGCGATCCATATGGTATTCGTCCCATGGTCCTTGGGTCCCGGCGCTCGCAAGACGGCCACGGTATGGACTACATGATGGCCTCTGAAAGTGTCGCGCTGGTCCAGTGTGGCTACAAGGACTTTCAAGACATTCTGCCCGGCCAGGCTGTCATCATCGAGAAGGGCAAAGAGCCGGTCTTCCGACAGGTCGCTAAGCAAGAAGCGTATACCCCGGATATCTTCGAATACGTTTACTTTGCTCGACCAGACTCAGTCATTGATGGTATCGATGTGGATGAAAGCCGACGTAACATGGGCTTTACGCTCGCCGAGACGATCAAGAAGCAGCTGGGTCCTGAAAAGATGGCCGAGATTGATGTCGTTATGCCAATTCCAGAGACTTCTATCACATCAGCTCTCTGTGTCGCTGAAGCTCTCGAGAAGCCCTATGTACAAGGCTTTGTCAAGAACCGCTACATCTTCCGCACATTCATCATGCCATCGCAAAAACTACGACAAAAGGGCGTCCGGGCGAAACTCAACCCAATGAAGAAGAAGTTTGACGGCAAGAATGTCTTGCTTGTCGACGACTCGATTGTCCGCGGTACAACTTCACGTGAGATTGTACTGATGGCGCGCGAAGCTGGAGCGAAGAAGGTATACTTCACGTCATGTGCACCGCCCATCACCAACGCTCACATCTACGGTATTGATTTGGCCTCATCCTCGGAGCTTATTGCCCATCACCGTGACTCAGCAGCTATTGCTAAGCACATTGGTGCTGACGATGTCGTCTACCAAAAGCTCGAGGATTTGGAAAGTGCATGCGCGCGCCTTTCGCCACGCGATCCCGAAACCCAAAAATTCGAGGTGGGTGTTTTCTGTGGCAAGTACGTCACACCTGTGGACGATGGCTACTTTGAGCATCTCGAACAGGTGCGAGGAGAGAGCCGAAAACAAAAGGTCATGGAGAAAGCACGCGAGGCGGTTGTCCACGGCACAGCAAATCCGCAGCAGGTGCGCATGGCTGCCAAGGGTGTCGTAAGTTCCAACTCAACTCTTAACCCAAAGTATTGGGTGTGACTAACGAGTATTACAGGAAGTTGACCAACATGGAAATGTCATCCCGGCAGAAGGTGGCGCTGAATCACCCGATGGGCAGCCGGTCACTGGCAATAATGATTCTAGGCCTGACGGCTTGACCAACAGCAACGGCGAAGAGCGGCGCGTTACCAGCAGTCAAGATATCAGCCTACACAATATGAATGACTTCAACTAGATGGTGCTGGCACAGGGGTAAATATCTTTGTGGTTGTCAGTAGGCCACTGACCATCAGGGCGGCTGTTTCTTTTACGCGACATGACACATTACTGAAAAGTTACGACTGAGATGACTATGGGGCTGGGAAAGACTAGAAGGGAAATGTGGGTGCAAGGTCTCTACGTTAAATCTAGGTGAGATTGAGTGTGAGCACCTGTTCACATTCTCTCCCTTCAGGATATAATTCAACAATCTTTTGCATTAGCCTTTAAGCCAGATCCGTCAGCCGGGCATTCCCGTCTCATTGGTGCATGCAAGTACGCCCTATGTCAGATACTACCCCAACATGGCATGTCATATATGCACGATTTCTTACTAGGCTACAGCGTATTACGCCCTCGCTAGTAAATGCGGGTCGACTCCGCGCAGGAACTGTGCGTCCGTGTTTCTTGATGCTCAAACAGGACCTCTCATATCAGATTGCATCTTCAATAGGTCGTGATTATGAGTTACTGTAACGCTGAGTATCCGCGAGACTCAATCTTATCAGCCACCCATCCATGATAAACACCTACAAGGCAAGATTCCCATCAATTCACTCACGCCTTCCGCGCATACTACAGATCCCACCACGCAGTCATCGCAACTGAGGGCTTGGCTTACGGGAAACGCCTCTCAGCAAACACGGCGTCTTCCCACTCTCCTCATTCGGCAACTTTCACCTGCAGGCCGGAGTATAGCAACCACGGACCGGGTGGTCGGCCTCGCCGCTTGTGACCAACACTGACGACGCTCGCATCCATGGACTATTTTCCACGTCGTCATAAGCTTAGGCCAGCATATTCAAGGGTGCTTCTCCCAGTAACCTGGTTGGTTAAAAGCTCCGCTTACAAGTTCAAAGCCACAAGCCCGTCAGGCGATTCGCAAAAAATGACTTCCCCACGCACCACACCAACACGAGTGCTATTCCGCGACGAACCGACACTGGCTCGTTGGAGATGTGACCAACTGATTTTTACAAGCCCATCAGATTTTTGCTGCTGTGATGAGGAACGTGGGGAGTCCGTGTTGCTATTCACCGCCAGGACGCCACTGTTGGGAGTGTCTGTTGACAGGCCGATGTCCGAGGGAGACGGTGATCTGGAGGCAAACAAGCTGAGGGAAGGCGAATTGGAATATTTTGGGTGTAGAGATTGGAATATAAAAGGGAGAGACGGCGATGGAGAAAATGGAAGCACTACAGACGCAAATCTCATTCCAAAAACCTGAGTCACCGAATCAAATTCGATACCAATTCCAACCCGCAAAAATGCTTTTCTCTACCACTATCGCTGCTCTCGCCCTCATGGCTTCATCTGCCTCTGCGCAGATTGAGTTGGAGAATGTTGCGTCTTGTTCGTCCTTCTCTTCCCTTTTCCCTCCTTTCTTGTTTGCCTCCTTGAGTGGCTTTGAGAGGGTTGAAGCAAGTGTACTGATACTACGAAACAGTCGAGGCATACGCCAACCCAAGCTGTCAGCCCCAAGCTGATCAGCAGCAAAAAATTCACAGCAACGTGTGCAACTTCTTGCCTCTACAGAGCGCAAAGGTCTTCTTCTTGGAGAAGACGAGGGCGAACTGCCAGCGTACGTTAATCTCTCTTTCCCTTTCCTTCTTCTGATGGAAACACAAAGAGATGCGGATGAGAGATAATGGAATTGAGCTAACGTGATTGGAAAACAAAACAGTCCAGTTCTTCGCTGCAAGCGACTGCTCCGGCACCCCAACTGACATCATCACCACTGTGCCCAGCGGCTGCGTTAATGTTTCGACCAAGCTCTCGTACAAGGCTGTTTGCTTTTAAGCAACCTTTTACCTTTAGACACTTAATACAGCGGTCGAGTATCTAGACGGCGTAGATGGGGGGGGGCTGGCGACAGCAATAAGGGGCAATAAGGAAATCGGATGGGACAGTCTTTACTACCTTGCAGGATTAATATAGATGCTATTTAGTCTGGTCTGTAGTCTTCTGGCTTTGCGCTTTGTTCATGTTCAACACATGGACGGTGTGGAGGTGGGAGGCGGGACTGGAGGAATGTAGGCATCGCTTTGGTATTGTGGTTTTGGCTGTGACTGTGATCTTGGTGACGTATTCCATGCGAGGTACTTCATGGGTTGGTATAAAAGATGTGTTATGATGTAACCAGGTATGATGGAGATGTTGAGTAGTGCGTATAGAATAGAGAGTTGCTTGTAGTGGTAAAGGGGAGAAGAAAAAGGCGAACAAGAAAGAAAGTTCTCATGGCTGTTTCTATCTTGATAAATATTCTTCATCTTAATTGTGCTCTTGGAATTTTATTTCCTTGAATCTCGCTTGATCATGATCAACACATGGCAACAAGACAGGGCAAAGTTGTATGTAGTGAGGCTATGAAACCCCCACATCCAACTGCCCCACCAAAGCTTTGTCGCGTCGCGTCTGCAAAGTATCCCCAAGATTCCTCCCATCGCCGCTTCACAAACACAACCACTTCACACGAATTGTTAAATACACCTACTACACAAATGCAACACAATGCCGTCAATACCTATACGCATCGCTCCCTCTCCACCAACCCCACTTCCCACCGAAAACCCACTCCCCCATATCCTCCACACACCCTCCGGCCTAGCCCTCCTCGAAATCCAAGGCACAATCCACTTCCCAGCACCCATCACTGACTCTGAACCCTCAACTCAAATCGGCAAACTCGTGTTTCCGCACTATAACCCAGACACCAACGACCCGAGCGATACCAAATGGATGAAGCGCGTGTACATGTATATTGGCAAGGGCCAACGGATGACGGGCGAATGTAAAAAGTTGGCGAATCCGATTGCTGTGCTGCGTAAGAGGATTGGTGAGGATGGTGGAGAGGATGGTGGAGAGGATGGTGGAGAGGATGTGGATATGGGGGGTATAGAGGGCGAGGGTGAGGGGGGAAAAGAGGGGGAACTGGAGATTGTAGAGGTGGTGAGGTATAGGGTTGTTTTTTCTGCGAGGCCGGAACCGATTACTGGGGTTGCTGAGGTGTCATGATGCGATTCTAAGATGCTAGTTGCTGGGCTTTGCGAGTAACTGTAGATATCGCCAAACATCCAAAACGCAGCGCGACAGGACGAAACATACATCCACGTCGAATGCGCATGTCACGTGGGGGCGACATAGATCAGACGGAAGCGTTAGACTCGACGACCATGTCAGAGAAACTTGCCCATCTCTCTGGGCCGGTACCAGAGGCCTGCTCGATGGTAGTCGCCCGTACCCGCGCACCTGGTCGCAAGGCTACACTCTAATTTCGGTGACATCCAGATACGATTCCAGGATGCTAACTTGAATCACCTAAATTGTACCCGGTTTTGGAAAATTCGCTTGGATCCTTCTCTGCATCATTCGCCATTGCCAGATCCGGAAGATGCGCCAGTAAAGTTTAATTGTTTTTAATCAAGCAATTTAAGCCTGCGTAAGCATATTGCTGCCCCAGTCTTTTTCTCGGCTTCCAGCCTTGTCTTGCGGACATGGGGGGGTACTTTATCCACTTTACGCGGCGACCACGGTCCGATGTTTAAAGGGTACGGACGCTGTTAGTTGACATCACATGGTGCTCTTTTGAGCCAGATGAAACTTACTGTAGTATAAATATCATGGTTGGTTCCTACAATGTGGTTCATAGCTGCCGGACAAGGAATATCTTGTGTTTCTCTAGATTACTATTAACTTGTGATTGAAGGGCCCAGGATGCATTACACAACAACCGCTTTTCTGGCTTTACTAGCCGGTACCACGTCTGCCGCTGTCGGTGACTGGCAGCAATGTACGTGATGTATATCCATTCTGGTACATGGGCTAACTTCAGCGCAGGCGGTGGCATTGGTTGGAGTGGTCAAACAACATGCAATTCTGGTTCTGGATGTGTCAAGATAAAGTACAACATCTATTTACAGAAAGATCTGCTAGCAATCCCTAACCGTATCCAGTGAATACTACTCCCAGTGCCAGCCCGGAGCAGCACCAGCACCCAACCCAGAACCCACACCCACACCTACCCCATCAGCTCCAAGCAGCTCAACTCCGAGCGAACCAGCCGCCAGCAGCGTCCCAGGTGGTACTGGACCCGGCAAAATCCTCCAAACGGGCTACTACTGGATCCGCGCCGTCGCCGCGCCCAACTTCCACAAGTACATCCAAACCAACCCGCTCTACTCCACCGGCCCAGCCCTCCTCGGCGACTACACCACCGCCGGCCAACTCCAAGTCGTTTCAGGCCAACTCGTGCAACTCGTGTCCGCGCCCGGCGCCCCTGTCAAGCTACTCTACGCCAACGTGTCCCCCGAGCGCACCATCAACAACATGTCCCTTGCCGTCACCTTTTCCGAGACCAAGAACACGTACGGCACGTTTGCGTGGGGCGGCGACGACCTGCAGTGGAGCAGCACAGGCGTCACACGTCCGAACAAGAGCGCGTGGTATGTGTGTACGGGGCAGAAGTTGTATATTAATCTAGGGAATTACTTGTATCAGACGCCAAGCGGGTGTGCGGATCAGACGATTCATTACTATAATGATAAGACGGCTAATGCGTAGGTCTGAGATATGGAAGAGATGGATTAGAGACGCCCTTTTTTCATTATATTTCAATGTAGAAGTATTTATCAAGTTACCGAAAGGAGTTCTGCAGATGCTACGTGTTGAACTAGCAACACAGCGGTTCTCTTCCCGTTACTCGAATCGGTGTTTTCGCACACAACAATTGTTACATATATCCACTTGCTCCCCCGCTTTCAATCTCATTCGCCAGAAAAAGAGGTGCCACGCTCACTTAACAGGTAATCTGAAAAGAATTCGTCTGCCCCTTGGTCTCGCACCTCCCGCCATCCTCCTTATGCACTTCCACTGCACCCGTACAGTCATCTTCCAAGTAAAGATTCACTGTTTCGTCCTTATCAGCCTCTTCCTTTCAAAATCTCACACATAGCACGGCATTCGTAATACAAGGATGGATTAGGCACCTTGGCATGACGGAATCGTCGCATCAAACGTCCGAATGTACGTGCTTCCGTTCCACATTGGGATGCACAGGTTGGGACGTAGCTGGCTGCGCGTGTTGACGGAGCAGAAGGTGCCGGGGACGGGGTTGCAGTCTGTGCAGTTCCAGGTGGTGAAGGAGATGGAGTCGTAGGCTAGAGTTGAGGTGGTGAGCAGGAGGAGGGTGGAGAGAGAGGTTTGGAAGTGCATTTTGAGGAGCTATTGATGTGTCTTTTTTTTGAGGAAGAAGTTGATGGGGTTGTAGAATGGGTGGGTATTTGCAAGTAGAATGAGGAATTGGTTCTTTGTTCTTTTTGCTCTTTCTTTATATGTTGCTTTCATGATTTCTCCAGGCGACCAGCGTGGCGGAAACTTCTATGTCACTGTTGCCCTTGGTGATGATGGTTGGACGAAATTTTCGTCCTTCAACATGACCGCCCAAGCTGACATGTTTTTGTTCTTGTTCGCGCTGACGTTCGGCACAGCCCCCAGTCTGTTGCTGTTGGGCTTACTTTGTAAAACATTTGGTTCTGCGAATTTGGCGGGCTGTTTTGTACTACGTATATTGGTAAGTGAGCATAGCCTATACATAATACAAAAGTTGCTTTACAGGCGTTCTCCGAATCAGCAGTGATATGGCCAATAGGCTTTGCGAGGACAGTAGTGAGACTCGCTGACCAATTTTCCATTGGAGAGAAAAGAGAAATAGAGATTTTAGTTGTCCAATGATGTTCAAGTGCAGTTCTCTCGACGTAATGGTAGTGTTGGTGGCGGTTCTAGTTGGGTCATCTTCCCAAGATGCGGTTGAATGTGTACGCGTACTAGTTATGGTTGGCACATCGCAAAATTATCCCTTTTGGTTTGGATGCATCCACTTCCTCGTTTTATTAGCGTCTTTGTTTTCTTTAGAAGTTCCGAAAAGCAAAAAGGCTTTTGCTTCACGTGTTCTGCGTCGATCCAGCAGTGTAGCGCCTGTCAGGGAGCAATGTCGTTGCCAGCGCATTGATCATCAGCTTCATCGAGTGACATTCTTATAAGCCAATCTGACTCTAGTTTTACATTTATGGCGTACTTTTGTATGCGCGGTGGGAAACTCGGCTGCGTCAGTACACGCGGTACTCTTCATTTTGATAGGGTGACATTATCGGTTATTATTTTTTCATGGACATCTACGCTCCTTGAGGATACAAAGCCAGAAAGACGGGAGTTGATTATATTTCTTCTGCGCGATTATTATTTGCGACTACATAAAACACACTTTTTGCTCAATTTCCAGCATGGGTGACCCACCTTACACTTTCATCAATTTAGGCTTAACTCGTTGGTCTGTGGCTTGTCAACCTTCAGTATGTTGGCTTCAGAATGTCTAGAGCAAACCTGTCCTCGAACTTGGTTCGCCAAACTCACCGTTATCTCGCAGGCGCTATGATATAAACTGCATGCTGTATGTTGGAGGGTGCGTGTGCTGCTTCGCCAGTCTGTCATCTTAGCCTTCTTCCGCTGCTGTGTTTGGTGCTGGATCGAATTACAGTCCAAGATTAGTTGTCTTTGAGTTCGAAAGAGACTCAAAGTACTGCCAGGTTGTATCTAGTACACCTTCGAGCTTGAATGTCATTTGTTCTTCTCGTATTTAAGCGAGACTAAGGAACGCCTTCCGGTGAGACTAATAATGAGGCTGACTGAAATGGTGTACGCCACTGAGTTTTGGTTCACGAGCTTCTGGTACATGTTGTATTAGTAGAGTGTTTCGGACGCAAATAGTCCGCGAATTCTCCAGTGCACATTATGGTTGTTTCGGAGTATCCTGGAGGGTTTGCGCGTAGACAATGATAGCAGCAGCTCACACTGAATGCCCAGCACTTGTCTTTTGTCAACAAATAAACTGGGACTTGTATGTACATGAGGCTTGGTATGTGTATGTCTCTAGAATTCTGGCTTTAAATTGCTGCATGCATGTTATGGGCATTCTTACCTGATCTATTTTAGATATTACTTTGGAAAGGAGACATCGAAACTTTACACGCACCATCCCTCACAAGGGTGTTAGGCAACACAATGAGGGACGTCAAGTGAGCAGGGGTACAGTCGTACTTCTAGACCGCTCTATCATATCTACAGTCGACAAGACTATTCAAACCCATCTGAATGTCTGCATTGCCTTACAGATCACACTCTCCAGCTCGTTTCTTTACAAAATGTCAACTCATATCTCGAGCCGAGAGCTAGACGACGCAATTTCCTTCACTGTACCACTCTCAAACTACAATACAGACAGCCTTTGCAGGAACTACACTTTGCGAAGACATAGCTGGGATGCTGAAGCCAGCGCAGGATCCCATGAAGCAAGATTGGATTGGATCAAGTATGTCGGGCCTACTGAGCAGTTTGGGGGACCCCATCAATGGCAATTTCTCAGCTTTAGCTTTACCGCCCACAAAGCCTAAATGTATGAGACTAGTTGCTTATTTGCTTGAGTGTATGTAGCCCACCTCTCTGTGCATGGCATCGCAACTTTGCGATGTTCTCTGTTCAATATCAGTTTGTTAACTATTGTATAGATATATTTCTGCATGACAGTGTCATTGAGCTTGAACAGCCAGGTATGGTATGTTAGAGCCTGCAAATCTTTTCATAACTTCCAATATACTGACTTGGGGTTTTTGTTTCGAAGGACGGTCAACACGATCACTTTGATCATCCCGAGCGACAAGAGTAGAAGGGCACAGATCCGACGCTAGGAAGAGCTCAGATCCAAGGAAATATTATGAATGAAATTACATCAGTAGGCCAAGTATGGGCGGAATGAGTCAGGAGGACATTCAAAGAAGCCATCGCTATCATTCTGCGTGAAAAGAGAAAACAATATGGCACCCTGGACGAGTGCTTGGATTTCCGACTCATTGATGCAGGAACATCGTAAGCATATTCACCTGTTTTCAGCAATTTCTCCAAGTATATACTGGTGAAACGATAGCGTGATAGAGGCCTTGTTACTCCTCGGCATGGGTGTGACACTTACCGAGGAAGAGGACGCCCAGCTCGAACCCATCCGCAAACCAGGCTTCATAGCACTAGCCCTAGCAGACGACTACCTTTCTTTTGACCGAGAATACCTCGAGTTCTCAGAGTCAGGATAAGTGGGAACATTATCGAACGCTGTCTGGCTGTATATGCAGTGGAACGACGTGGACGTGGATGTTGCGAAAAAGATGATACTGGACGTAACATGGCAGAATGAAGACAAATTTCTGAATAACTGCGCGCATTACCGACGAGAAAACGAGAAAATGTCTCAGAAATTGAGCAGACATCTGTAGGCACTAGAGTGCCAGATCAGCGGGAATGTGGTTTGGAGTTTGAACAGCCCTCGATACCATCCTGAACCCAGATACGATCCAAATGCTGGTCTGGAAGATGAACTGACAGCAAGATCAATGCCCGAGGCCCTGGGCATCAACTATGAGGCTCGATTTATTCGTAAGGCTGAAAATACCCAGACCAACCGAGCATCATAAATCCTCATCTGAGGATTGCCAGTTCACAAAAGTCTTCATCTGAGACTTTCCTTAGGACCTCTGATGAAACCGGGTCGATAGCAGACAGCAGTGACTCTCGTTCGTCACTTGACTCGGTTTCCTCGAGCTCTGAAATCGAGCAGATGGTAGTCGTTCATTCTCCAAAGAGTGTATCTTTGGACTCTGGGCATGTCAGAGCGCCAGTTGACTAAATCAAGTCACTACCCTCTGGAGGTGTACGAGATGTCTTCATCAATGCCTTGGCCATCTGATTCAATGTTACTTCCCCAGCCGTATCACATATCAAATCAATAGACAATCGCCTCCACTCAGCATTGCTCATACTCGATGACGTCGAAGACGGGTCCACTCTTCGAAGAGGCGACCCAGCAGCGCACCCTGTTTTCGGTGTTGCGCAGACAATCAACTCAGGATGCTACGAGTTGGTAAGAGCGGTGGAAGAAGCTCGGCAGTTGGGACCTGATGCAATCGAGATAGTCCTCGAAGGTCTAGACGAATTGCATGTCGGACAATCGTATGACCTCTACTGGAAACAGAATAACTTGTGCCCGTCAGACAACGAGTACCTGGAAGTGGTAAAGAAGAAGACAGGAGGATTGCTTCGACTGCTCACGTGACTGCTTGTCACTTGTTCGACGAGCAAAGAGCCAGACAAGCACATAATCGCCGATGTCGAAGATCTTGTAAGCCTCATCGGGATACAGTACCAGATCCGTGACTACAAGAATCTTGGCTCCAAAGACTATACCGAGAAAAAGAGGTTCTGTCAAGATTTGGACGAGGGCAAGTTTTCGTTTCCGCTAATGCACGCGTCGAACGTACAGTCGGAAATTACTCAGCTACTGTGTGAGCTTCTTCAGCGGAGAAGTGATGCGGGACACCTCTCATATGAGCAGAAGAAGCTCATACTCAAGCAACTTGATCGGACAGGTAGTATGTGATATACTCGCGAGACATTGAAGCGGCTGGAAGGCGAGGTATACAAAGGTGTGAAGAAGATTGAGGGCGCTATGAAGATTGAGAACTGGGTCCTAAGAGCTCTGTTGCAATGATTGGAGGTGTGAATGTAGACGAGGTATACTTCGGTAGTATGCTTTTCGTTCTAATGTTAAATTAACGCCTACATACAGACGATACTCCAAATAAAGAATAGTATCCGATTGATTTTTTGTTAGAAAGCAAAGACTTCCACAAGCTGGAAGTGCTGTTGTGACGATCATATCAAATCGCAAGCTGAAGACAGCTACCTGTGCTAGCTTACTACCTAAATCAGGCTAGCCGATCGACAAGTCAAGTATGGCATCATAGATCGTGTGTGGTCCACCTTTCAGAGGCCTTGCTAACAGCCAAACACCCTTCTTATCATGGCCATCTCTGCTACCTGTCCATTATACGTACAACCATGCCGCCATGGTCGCTGATATCACCAGCCTCGCGAGGCATTGGCTTTGCGCTCGCGAGAAGGGTCTTGCAAACCACAAATGCGCCGGTCGTTGCGACAGCACGGAAGGACTTGGACAAGACCAAGGAAGAGCTCCTTGATGGTCTTGACGTGGACGAAAAAAGGTTGAGTGTTCTAAAACTAGATGTTCTCGGTACCTAGAAACTGCATCCAAATTATTCCGAAGCATCCACTGACGGCCGTGAAGATGAACAGACAATCGCAGATACAGCAGCGGTATGCAAAAGTCAGTTCAGTGGCAGCTCAAATCAGCTTCAGCTCGCGTTGATAGTACCTGGAATACTCTTTCCGGAGAAATCACCTACCCAGATCAATGCCGATGATGCGCTGTTGACTTTTCGAACCAACACTTTGGGTCCAATGCTGATGCTCAAACATTTCTCATCCTTCTTGCCGAGAAAGTCTCACGCCATTGATAGAGAGCAAAAAGAGATGGAGGGGTTACCAAGTATAGCTACAATGGCTATCATGTCAGCTCGTGTTGGTAGCATCAGTGACAACCGTCTCGGAGGATGGTACAGTTATCGTGCATCTAAAGCAGGTGTCAATCAAATAGTAAAAACATTTGATAATCATCTTCGCACTGCGTCTGGAGAGAATGCAATGGCAGTGGCTTTACATCCAGGCACCGTCAAGACCGGTTTGAGCAAGGACTTTTGGGCCAACGTAAAGAAGGAGAAGCTATTTGAGCGGGAATGGGTTGCTGAAAGGCTTATCGATATCACCAAGCAAGTGGGAGTTGAAGGAAGAGGAAAGTGTTGGGACTGGGATGGGAAGGAAGTACCTCCTTGATTCCTGTGTGCAGAAGCAGGCGCAATTGATCTCTGCTTGCTATCGCCAATGTGGACGAAGAACCTTATGTTGTTTCGCCTCATACACTACATGATTTCTTTATCTGACATGGTATCCCAACAACATTTACTTTCACAGATATCGTTATCCGCCTGCCGCCCACAGATCGCTATAGTGACAGTTCACAAACAATCATGTGGCGAAACATGTGATGAGTCGGAAAGTGAGTCTGCTTCACACCACATATAGCCAAAACCGTATCGCAAAAGATCATCTAGAAAAGTAGTCTGTTCGCAGTGCGATCGTAAACAGGGTCTTCTCCGCTCTAACCTGGCCAGACAGCACTCTCAGGTCAAACAGGCAGGTCACAAACATTCGCAGCCGGTTGAAATAAGACTGACTCAGAGGGCAGATTACAGAGCGTATCTTACCTTGGACAGCTCTTTGATTGTCTCGGACCAGTTTTTGTTGTACCACTCCCGCTGTTGGAATACATCTGAGAAAACTCCAATGACGGATGGCCCAAAATGTTCTAGGCCATTTCTCAGGTTCGTCAAAAGTCAATTTCGACTTCATTTACTATCATACAGTATGAGTTGAATTTACTATTTCCAATCCGCCTTTAGCGTATCAGATTGTCATTTCTTAGAAACGAATGGTGGGCCACGCCCCAACCTGCTAGAACCGGGTATAAAAATGACTTCACAGTCAGAGTAATGATTGGAACGAAGAGCCTATACTGAAACCTTGGAGTTGTAGTTGTAACATATCTGTAAGCGAAGCCCCACTTTCGAACCTAAAAAGGATTGTCTAGTGATGCATAATAATTTCTCAATAGACATACGCCCATTGGGCGTGACAATTAGATCAACTGTGGTTGCCACAAAGGCAGCAGCATAACGAACTATGGTTGCGACAAGGACACGGGTCACTCAGCGCAGCATACGGATACCTACAAATTCGCCATGTTTCGCCTGTCCGTCTCTCCCATCTTATCTTCGCCGCACATGTATTTTAATTCTACATTCAAACCATGCGGCTTTTCTCCTTGTGGCCCTCCTCGCTGTAGCCCTCCCCTATCAGACCCAATTTCTCGCATCGGCTACCGATTGTAGTCGACATTTTCTCAAGCCCAATGATTACCACGTACTCCCCTCCCCCCTCTCATGCGTTAAAGGATCTGCAGGCGTGGATACCTCGTTGAATGGAGTACCTCAGAGAAAATCCGTTGAAACGGTATTGCCCTAATAGACACATGAATATCAATAAGATTAGGATCCGCGGGCGCAAGGGCAGTTACAATGCCCTGATCAACAACATGGGCGTGCAGAGAGTCTATGCACAATACTGTATAAAGAACTGCAAACAAACACCAGAGTTGGGACTGAACGAGTACGCACGGGAGAAGACCAATAGGCTGTTGCCGAACCGACGAAAAGACATTCTGAAACGATATTATCTCAAAATACCATCTTCATATGTTGGCTTGAGAGGAGGCGCTTCCTCGCCCGATGGTGACAACTCTGGAAATCACAGGGTTGGTGGAAACGATAATGACTCGGACCAATTATCGGATGGAGATGATTCCCTATACCGGGTCGACATCCAAGGAGGTCTAAGCGACGGGCCTGCTGATATCTCGTATGATTATATCAATAGGAATGCTCCCGATGTAGATAACTTGAAAAATCACATGGCTCCAAACGATGCGGTTGTCAACGGCTCAGACGAACCTCACTATAATGGCGCTCCCGCAACGCAAGGTCACATGGAAGATGGCACCTCGGATGGAGAATTCAATGGGGACTTTGCCGCATCCGGAGACGTGGATGGTCATGTTCTTCGAAATGGTATGTCTGGTCATGTCTCTAATGGGCTTCACTATAATGGTGCTCCCGTAACCCCCCGGGATCACATGGATAGTGAACCCTCAAGTGAATACACTAACAGTACTGCTTTAGTACCTATACACCGGAATCATCATGTACCTCAGAAAAACACGCTTGCCCATGGCTTGAACGACCATTTCTCTAGTAGGAGCGCTCGCCCATCGTGGGGCCGCATGGCTGATAATGCTCGAGGCCCCCAGGTCAACGGCGTCAGCACCGCGCCTCCAACCAGCAGGCGAACCTCCATCGCTTCGCACCGCTCGCGCGTCGACAGCCTCCGCGATGCACAGCAGGAAGAAGATGACTACGTAATAGACTGGTGGCTCTGCGAACCCCTCGGCCGCACACCCTCAAACGCAACCCACAGCGCCAGCCTCGCCTGCTCTCTCGAACGCGAATACTCTGCTCGCCAGCATCGCTCCTCGCAATACTACAACCCCCTAGCTGGATACTACGACATCCAAGAATCCAGTAGTAGCACCGGCTCGACCCTCTTCCCCCCGCCCCTAAACAGCTTGCTCTCCCGAGTCCCGTATCTCGATCCCGGCCCTGCTTCCGATATCTGGCCTCCGAACCCGGGTCCTCCAGACTTGGCCCCACCCTCGAGACATGCCTCGGGAACTACTACTGCGGGGGCTCGCCCTCCTCCTCCTCCTCCTCCTCCTCCTCCTCCACCACCACCACCACCACCACCACCGCCGCCGGCAGTAAACACAGACACCGCTGCGGATAGTAGTAGGGCGCCGCTTGCTGCCGCAGGCCCGAGGAGGAGGCGGAACGCAATCCTTGCTCGGTTGCGTGCGACTTGGCGCAGTGTGAAGCGAGGAGGATCACGGTTCGGACATGACATGTCTAAGTGTAAGAGCCGTTGAAGTTTGAATCCTTTCTAAATTCTTATTATTATCTTTGATTTTTATTTGGGCGAACGATCATCCTTACCCAAACGGGGGAGGGGGGTTTGGTTTGGTTGCAGGCCTTTTGTTCACTTTGTTTCTCTCAGTTCTCTTATCATGCCAGTGAAGGTTTTCCAGATCGCAGAAAAAAACTATGGGGAGAGTTCTTGGGGGGGGGGGGGGGGTTGGAACGGGACACGATGCTCTGGTCTTTTTTTTTGAACTTTCCTTTGTGGTTTCGGGGGTTTTTCAATGCTGGATGGAAAGAAAGTATAGATGGTGATTACCTTGTAGATCATTACTGAGTTGATGGTGAGTTAGAGAATAACAGTTCTTGACTGAGTTTCCGTCTCCTTGTGGCATGTGTCTGGGTTTGGTAAACGATATACTCAACGAACCTTGTATTTGCATAGTTCAAACACAAACATGGGAAAGTTTGATCGTAATGGCTGGGAAGGTCTTGTTCAGAATGGTATGTAGAACCGATCTCACCTGCCACAAATGACGCACCACACTACGTTGTGCCTGGGGATCAATAACAGACTCGTCATATACGAACAATACATGAAGAGGACTACTTACAAAAGTACCTACCCCATATGCATCGACCCCAGCTCGGCAAGACTACCACACACTCTCTATCCAACAAACCCAACTTCCTCCAACGACGTCACAAATCCACTCAATCCAGCCAAAGGGTATCCGCCCAACACTTCTCCAACAGAAAAAAAAATAAACAGAAAAAAAAACAAGAAAAAAAATAACCAACACAACAATCCTCAATACCATCACCGCCAACCCTCCAAACCTACGCAAACATGACGCCTCCCCCCCAAGTACCAGCCTCGCTCTCTCCGCAGCACAACCCCAAGACAACCTCCAAGAACCTCCAAGAAACCCTAAGACACCCGCCCCGTCTCCCCCCAACCCCTTGCCTCCATACCATCAGGCAGAAACCCAGCGACCCTCCCCACATTCAACCATCCCCTCCCCTTCAATTAAGTAAACCCAGTCTAATCCGCATATACTTACACGCAAAGCCACCCCACCCGCCTCCCCACTTTCCCGCAGCGCAGCCACCAAAGCAAAGCAAAAAAATTCTAGCACAGGCTGTCGATTTCTTTTTTGCTTTGCTTTGTCCTTCCGCTGCCTTTACTCAAAAAATGCATTCTCAGCTTTGGTAGCTCTGGCGCAATTAAAGAGCAAGCGGAACGCAAGACGGACGGTCCGCACCATCTAGACCCTTTCCCCACTCTCTACTCGCATACCGCAAAGAAAGAGCAAACAGTAGAAAGAAAAAATTTCTTTCAGCTACCAACTTACCACGCGCCTATGTGGCATCCATTTTTTCTGTTCTCTTGGTGAGGGGAAGGGCAAGGGGGGAAGGCGAAGCCGGTCGCTAGGCTCTTTTCCGATGCACGAGATACGGTACACTAGCGTTTTTAGTTTTCTTGTTTGCGAGGGCAAAAGTGGGTTTTCATTGAGGGAGGCATTATGTGGATGGGGCTACTGTGACGTTGCGCGGCTAGTGGGTGGGGGGAAGAAGGGAAGGGAGGGGAAAGGGGAGGGGAGGGGAGGGGGTTATCAGAGTTTGATTTGTTGTTGTTGGTGGATGGAGAGGAGAGGATCGTAGGAGGGAAGGGAGGGGGGATTAGGAAAAAGATGGTAGCGTCGGGTACGCTCACCGCTCGTCGTGTTTTTTTTCCTTCTTCTTCGTCTTTCCTGCTTCTTGTTCCTTTTCCCCCTCCAGCTTACTCATGGGCTTGGCGTGGTGGCTGTGACTTGGCTGTGGAATGCAATATGGGCACCACAAGTCATGTATATTTGCCGTGAGAAGGTTAGGCGCTGGTGTTGCTATTGGTGTGCGCATTAAAAAGGCGTTTGCCGTAGCGTAAGCTGAAAGGAAAAAGAAAGAACGTTCAGGTGAGAGTCTCAGATTAGTCTGGACGGTCACATGTTGGCACACAGGGAGAAGGGAATGTGATTGCGAGTGTCTGTCTGTGGCTTAAGTGGCGGGAGCTGGTGTGCAAGGGATAAGCTGGGGAGACGTTTTTTTACTTTCATAGCGGCAGTGGTAAGCGGGATTCACCCGTTAAACTGACTTTCGCTTTCCCATGATTAAATTCCCGCTCGCTCGACCTTACTGTGTATTGCTCAATGCGGGTTATGTTTAGCAAGATCTTGGGGTCCTCCGTATACCGGCGGTTTGAAGACCCACCGATGCATATGTATGGCTGTCGCGGCCGGACAGCGGAACAGAAATGGATGACAATGACATTAAGAGGGCCCCAGCGATACGTGGCATTCGGTATCGCATCGGGTACAGACAGGCACATGTCCTGCAGTTGCTTCCTGTGCTTGGCCAAGGGGGGCGGTGCCAATGTGAGAACGCACGGAAGAAATGGGTCCAGGGTCTTATTCCTTTGCGCACTTGGACGGACGAGCGATTGGATGGAAGAGACAAGGGTGGATGAAGGGAAGGGAGAGACCTACGGATGGCTACGCGATATGCGTGCGTGCCTTGGCTCCTTTCGCCGCAAATACCACCGTGGCGCGGTTGACGTTACTGTCATGGGTGTGATGAAAGCAACAGGAATAGTATGGAAGTACGTAACATGGGTCAGTTCCTCTTGGAAGGTGTGCTGGAAGTCGCCGTCTCTCGCTCCGCTCCTCCGACAATCCATCCTGTATCTCACCCTCCTCTCTCACACAGCCAGGAATCCATCAGTAAGATTTTTTTTGCTCGAGCAAATGACCAAGGCACTACCTGATCTAAGTACTGGCCAGGACAGCGCACAGTGTACTTCGGACCTGCACGCTCCGAACCAAAGCTGAAAAAGAGAATAGGGAAAAAAGATCGGAAAGGAAAAAGAGCGGTACACTAGTGATGGGCTAAGCTGAGGCGTGAGATTGGAGAGAGCAAGGACAGGGTCTCTAGCCCATAATAGTCTCTTTTTCTGACTCAGTTTGCACGACACAACACATGGCGGAGACCGACGGCTCCATGCTCGAAACGTGCTTCCCATTCCTTGTGTCCCGCACCGTCCCGTGACAAGCCCTTGCCCTAAACGTCGTTTTTCATTGCTTTTTTGCTTGCGGCGGGAACGCCCCATGTCATTGTCCCCAATGGGTAGTTCCGAGGAAGGATTATCTGTATGATAAGTATGCGGGGGGGAGGGGGCCTCGGAATACACGGGTCTGATACCAGGTTCGAGACATTTCACGTGTAGGCTTAAGTGATGCGGCCCCGTGTGTGCGCGTGCTGCGGGAGGGAAGGGGGATGGGAAAGGATGCTGGGCCGTTGCGGTTCGTGCCTGAAACGAAGAACAGGCTGAAAGCGAATCGTGACAGGTCCGTCTACGTACCCTTGCCAATCCTTCTTGCTCGTCTCACGGAATCAATAAACCCAACGGAGCCCAGCAACCAAGATCAAGTCAGACGGGAAGAACCTTGAACCTGGCCTTGATAATAGCTCCTTATAAGTTTTGTTTCACTTTCGGAGGAAAGGATTGTCAGGGCAATGAGCCTAGTCGTGTGCCTCGGCGTTTGCTCCTTTCACCTGATGTCAGTTTCCGAATTGGTCTTTTCCGACTTGACAAACAGCTATAGCTGCAGAGCGAACAAGTGTTGTTTGCGAGTGCGACATCCATGTAGTGAAGTCGTATTCGTTCTTGGTTCAGTGGAGAATTGCCCTGCATCTTGTGCTCGGCCAAGTACTTAGGTGGATGTTGGACGCCCTATGACGGTTGCCAACTTGTCCTAGCAGCATCGCGGCTCAAACTTTGCTTCTCGCTCCGTTCCGTTAATCCACTTAGAATGTGTTGGGCAAAGGTTACTGTACGCTACAAAAGCGAGCCCCGTCCAACTAGTAAGGTTAGAAACTCACCCAATTCGACAGCTGTAATAGCACATACATGTACTACACGGCTGGTTCGCTTCGTGGGCTGATCATGTGCACGCCGGCAGCCGACGGGAAGACAAAACATAACCTTTCCACACTTGCTTTGGCTGGCCTCGGCTGTGGATAGTGGTAGAAAGATAGTGATAGCGCCACCAAGCGTTGACCTGACATGGCCGGATCATCATCTGGCCGCCCGACACAGACACAGACACACCAACGCCACAAGATGTCGGTACACTAAAGCTCAGGACCAAGAAGGTCCTTTGTCTTCCCTGCATCTGACAGCCCTCTGCTCCAAGCGCCATAGCGCCTCTTCCCGTGCCTTCCAGTAGTCAGAAGCAATCATCCCCTCCAGACTAGATAGCGACGGCGGCACTGCTACCGTACAATGCATTAAGTCCATATCTCTGTACCATGCAACAAGTACGGCGCCGAACCAAGACCAATGATGTGAATCTCGATGTAACTCGAGCAGCATCGCTCACAGTCGGCCGGCTGGGCGCTCCGTGCCGTACCGATGTCAAATGGCTTGATCGAGCAGTTATCGTTGCCGATAGATCCCGATACGGAACCGCGGTCTGAGGACTTTTCTGGTCGATAGCGTTTGTTTGGCGTGATGCGCGTGGCGGCTGCCGACGCACAGGCTGGTGCGACCATCGGGTGTCAGTTGTGCCAGTCATGCGTGTAATGAGCAGAGAGGCCTGGTACGATGGACAGTCGAGCTGCAAGACATGTCCAGTTTTCCTGGTACTTGGATCGATCGAGAACCGGGTGCCGGAATAAGAATGAGAAGAAGAAGTGGGAAGTGTGTGGTCCAAGCTGTCCGTGGCAGGTGGTTACTTTTCTCTTCTGTGGGGGGGTGGGAAGCGGTATACACGGAAAAGGAAGGCATTACACGTGTGTATCCGTCCTCGTACTCGGATCGACCCTACGTTGCTCATGCTTATGTTTGTGTGCAACCCAATGCACACCACGTTCTCTTGCCCCCAATGAATGTGACTCAGCATGGTGGTGGTGGTGGTGGTGGTTGCATACATGGCAGTAGCAATGTTAGTGTAAGCTGACACACAAGGGAAGACATGCTCTTCACTGTTGACCAAAACAACCAAAACCCAATAAGCATTACACCATCAAACGTCTTCAATTTAGATAGCTAGTCCAAAACGTAACAAGAAAACGAAACAAGAAAAACAAGTACTACATAACGTTGCTGCTGATGACCCATTTGCCTTTGGACGTGTCTTTACGAGTAAAAATTCAGATAGCCGCCCACCAGTGAGAAAGATCCCAGACAGAATAAAGAGAAGTTTAGAATGCGGTAGAGACAGTTAGAAGAAGGGGAATATAGCAACCGCACCTAAATGGATAACATGAACCGTAACAAAGATGTACAGAAAAGCACAAACTACCACTACCCCAGCCAATGCAGTGAAGCATGTAAAGAGCTGGTTCGACCCAGGCCTTGAGATGATGCGGCTATCAACCAAGCCTCCGTGACATGATGCAACCCTCCAGTTCTAAAAGCTTGCAGGAAAAGACAGAATACCACCCAGTTTAGTAGCTTATGTTCAACAGAACAGCCGGAATCAAGCGCTTGCCGCCAGACGTTAAAAAGATGACACACCCACTCCGGGGACCAGAATGAGCGCGTACATCGTCAGATTAGCAACCTCCGCACTCGAGATGATAGGAAAACAGGAAGAAGAAAAAACAAAACAACCCCGGAAATGACAGTGAGGTAGATCTTTCAGTATTAAATAGAAAAGTCTCGATGCTCTTTATCGCCGTTTAAAAGCAGAATTCCGCCCAGAAAGCATGCTGTTACCAGCCAGAACTCCTTGCGATAGCAGATGCCGACAGGACAGGAAGAAAGGTTGTACCACGAGGAAACAGATAAAGGTCGGGTGCCGCAGTCAATCGAATTTTTTTGCTGTATTTTCCCTTTGCTTGATCCAGTTTGTGTGTAGCGCTCTCGAAAGACCAGCTTCAGAGCATTCCCTCTGGTACGAGACAAAAGATTTACATGGGTCGGCGATTGAGCATGTTGAGCATGGACGAGTCGGTCGAGCTGCGAGCCGGGCCATTGTCGGTTACTAGGTCGTTAATACGCATACTCGGCCTTGCCGAAGCTTGCGATGTGGGCGGTGGTGGCGTGCGGCCATCGCTGCGGGGCGGCGGAGGCTGTAGAACACCGTTCGTTTGAGGAGGAGCGCCGTAGTAGGGTGTGGGCGGAGCACCGGGCGTCGTGGGTGCTTGCGAGTGTGGCGAGGACGAATTGCGACTTGGCTCATAGCGATAAGCGCTCTGCGGGGAGCCCTGGCGCGGCGGTTGTGCGGCGTAGTAGGGTTGAGCGGGTGGAGGACCAGAAGAATATGCGGTTGGTGGGTTTGCTGTTGGGGCAGCCGATGTTAGAGATGGTGGCTCTGGGTAGGCATACTCTGGTCCCGTGCCTCGATGAGGAGCCTGTGACGCTGAGCCAGGATGTGGCGGAGGCAAGGTTGGAGTGTGAGGCTCTGGGTGAAGCCTCTTCCTGCCAGCCATGGCGTCACGGCTTGCCTCATCTGGTGAAGCACCTGGCGGACCATATTCAGAATGAGCTTGGTACGGACCTGCAGTTGGGCTGGGCAGATACTGCTGCGGACGCGCCGGCTGGCCATAGGGCTCACCATGGCTAGCAGGAGGAAGAGGCTGGCCATAGGCACCATACATGGGTGGAGGCTGGCCAACACCTCGCCAGACGGTGTGGGCAGGAACAAAAGCCTGAGTCTGTGCGGAAACGGGTGTGAAGATGCAGTCTTGGTTGAACCTCATGCAGTTGGAGCAGCGACCGTCCTCTGTCGCCTCGAAGCCCGAGCATCGAATCTATGGGGAAGGGTAAGCTATATTATCTCGATGCATTGCGTTGGGCGATCAAGTACCTTGCGACGTCTGCAGTACCGGCAGGCAATGGCAGTGCGCTGGCGAGGAGCTGGCGGCTGGTGGTGCTGCTGGACGTATTGCGGTGGTGGAGGCTGCTGGCGATATGGATCTGGTGGAGGAGGAGCACGCGTCCACTCATTGGGACCTGGTAGACGATAGGGCTGCGGGTGCGGGTGCTGGTACTGAGGATGTTGAGCCATGTCGGGTCGTGGCTCTTGGGGCGGTGGAGGAGGGAGCGTGGTGCTCATCTGGATTGACGTCAAGTGTCAGCAAGCTGTCACCCAGAAGACGAGATGACGTGGGCACTACCAGTGCTGATTTGCAAGGCTCGCGTAACAGGCAAGAGAGGACGAGCGAGCACGAGAGCGACTTACATGGGGAGGGGGCGCATAAGAGCCATTCGCAGGCTGCTGCGATGTAGGCGGCTGCCAGTGGGTGGGAAGCTGGCCTTGGCCACCCTGGTGAGGGAACATTGCTCGCGGACGAGTGGCGGTAGCGGTAGGCGAGATTGTGGGTGGGGTGGGTGAATGTGAATAAGAGAGGCAGAGGGAGAGAGGGCGAGGGAGAGAGCGTATGTGTGCGGTGAGAGAGAGAGAGAGTGTGTGTGTGTGTGTGTGTGTGTGTGCGGGCCGTCTAATTCGATGGCGGGCACAACGTGGTGCCTGTCAATCACACGCCGCTCTTGACCAGTGCAACACACAGATGGGCCAGCCTCGACGTCGACGTAAGTGGGAGGGACGTTGGTTTTGGTCTGGTGGTGCGGGAGATCCTCTGGGGCGGGTGAGGTGTCACAAAATACTGGCAAGCGGGCCGCAAGGTCGGCTGTTGCTGCAGGTGAGAAGAGAAGGCAGAGCAAATTGGGCACTTGTTGCAGAGCCAAGCCGAGGTGGGCGGATCGGAGGAATGGGGCGAGGGGGTGTGTGCACACACAGGACAAGGGCGGTGGGCAACTGGGCTGGTTGGGCGTGTCTTGGGGTCGGGGGTGCGTCAGCTTGCGAAGGGGGCTGTCTTAGGTTGAGGAAAGGCTGTGGAGGTGAAAGGCTTCTCGAAGCGCGTGGAGGAGACGGGACCCAAGAGCGTGGAAGCGAAAAAGGAGATTCAGGTTGGAGCGGCCGCTATTACACTACCCACCGCGTGCCCGAGAACTCAACCTTCTCGCCGCTTCTACTAGGATGGCGATTTTATCCCTGCCCGCCCCATGCAGCGACGACGGCGACGGTCCGCCAAACGCGCTAAAGGCCATGCGGCATCCTCACTTGCATTGGACGTGCAGCCACACCACCCGCCTGCAGCAGCAGACGCAGACGGGCGAAGGCAACAGAAGGTCCTGGAGCGGCGCCGGCGGATGGATGGGCTGGTGGCCGTGGCCGTGGTCGCGGCTGTAGCATTGCATCACGCCTCCCTTCACCCCCCCCCCCAAGCGGGCGTCCCACAGCAACGACATATCTGCATCCGCCAATCCATCAGCCCGCCATGCCATCCACGGCGGGCGTGGCCTGGCTGGCCTGCCCCCTCGCGCCCAGAGTCAGGCCCCTTGCTGGTTGGCGTATGACCTAGGAGCCCGGGCCCGTGTGCATGATGATGCTGCGGGCCGGCAGCTTGCTTGAGATGTATGACTCGCCAAGAGCTCGGGGACTCCCGTCGCGCTGTGATCTACGAGCCTTTAATTATATACAGGCCGCTGCAATCAGCGTCCATGTCACCACCGCCCGCGGCCGCCTCGCCGTGCCAGCGTGCTTTGTCTGTCGAGTCTGCACCGCGCGGCCGCCTCCCAGCCGTCGTCGCAGCCAGAGGGGCGTCGCGCACGCATGCACGCAGAGTGGCATAGTAGTGCCAGTACTTAGTGGGAGCACCTCGGGGCTCTTGAGTCGTCGACGGGCCGTCTCTGCGTCCTTCCTTGTGTCGCGTCCTTCGCGAAGGACATAGCTCGGGACATGCGACAGCTTACGAACCACGGTACGAGCAGCTCGTCATGGTCGCACCGTGCTTTGCTGGCCTTGCTGAGCGGCGGCGGCTATGCTGCCATGCTGCCCGCCCGCCACGCATGCTTTTTGGACTCGTCCACGACCAAACACTGCCATCCAGATAGTGACGACAACTACAGTCATCTCGCATCGTTGATGCCTCAGCCCCCCCTCGGCAGGCATGTGCGTGAGCTTCTGCTTCATAGGCCACGAGGCGGCCTGTTGCCCTTCATCTGCTGCAATATCTGATAGGGCTGATCAATCCGGGCGCGTCGGTCGTTTTGCTCGTCAAGGACGGCAGCATCCCTGTCGTGACAGTTGGTGTGGAACACTGCGGCAACGGCCTTGTGCTGTTTGCAGCGTTGTGACGTGACTTCCTTGCTATGGCTAGTCAAGGGCGCGCGCCCACCGGTGCGACTCGGCGACCTCAGGCACTCGCTCGCTCGCTCGCTCGCGGGGCAGTGTAGCACGCGGGAGGGCCGATATGTCTTGCGCCGGGAGAACCGTTCGCTCCAGCCAGCACCAGCTCCAACTTGCTCCAGCGACTCCAGCACCAGCAAATGACCGCTGCAAGCTCCACCATTGCCGGTAGAGTTTTCGTCTCTGCCCAGCCTACTGCATAATAGTGCAGGCTCTGGCCAGCCTTGCGCCTGAAGGCATGCCCGACATGGCCGCTTTCTCAGCTGCCATTGCTTCGTGTAAGACGGGCGGCATCCGACGCACCTCGCTTTTGTCCTCGAATCACGCCTCTTCATCCGGCCTCCACAATTTGGCCCATCGTTCGTCCCTTGCGCCGGCGTACGGCTTGCAGACCCGCACCCATGGCCAAACGCCTGATAGCCCTTCTGATTCGACGCCTGCCATTTTTTCTGCAATACACACACAGACAAAGAGCCTTTCCAGGATTTTCTCTCCCTCTGCCGGAACTCCCGCTGGTGACGAGGCTCTCTCGGACTTGCGCGGATGTAGCCACCACGAGGCAGGAGAATGGCGAAACGCCCAGAGCGTATTCAGCCTCGGCACCTTACCGGCCTGTTTTCGACTGGCTGCATAATGGGTGACGACGCAACGCTCCAGCGAAGAATCGTCAGCCCGCCGTAGTTTGCAGCTATCCTTGGGGCGCACCGCCTACCTTTTCTTCATTCCCTCTCTCCAGATTGGGGCGGACGGCCCGCGGAGCTTCAATCCACGCCTTCCGCAGCCAGGTTGCAATCAATTCCATCAGCCAATCATCCACCCGAAATTAATATTAAATTTCCCAGTCAGCAAAAATTCACGCTTTCAAATGGCTGTATATATATTTGTGTGTTTATGTGTGTGCGTGTGCGTGCCTTGCATTTGCTGGGAGGGGCAAATCTCCAATGTGCACCATGCGCAGCCAAAAACAACAGCAAAACACCCCCTGGTCTGCGTCACAAGACGTGATGACATACATACCTCGCTCGAGCCTTTGCACTTTGCGACGTTGCTGCGAGCAGACACTCACCGGTCGCGGCAAAGCGTATTTGATTATTGTTGTGCTTTGATTGACTGCCACACCGCATTTCGACATCCGAGTCAGTCACGAGCCCATGTTTAATGAGCGCAGATGCAGCCAGCGGTCCCAGGGTACTCAGAGACAAAGAACGGACCATGAACGTGTGCTATTGCCACGGCGGTCATCACCTCCGTGTTGGCAGCCTTTTGGGGGAGCGAGAGCGTGAGCGCGAGTGCGAATGCGAACGTGTATATGTACAAGTGTGGATGTATAAGTGTGTGGTGGGCAAAAAATAAAAATGCCGTCAATTGCCGCTGGTGGATGACGGTTACACCAACCGAACGGTGCATTTGTGGGGTAAGAACAGCCATAATGGATCTTCACTCGCCCTTCGGTCGATTCACCCCAAACAAGCACAAGCAGCAGTCCGCACAACGCACATTAAGGCTGCGGCGCGACGCGCATTACCCCAAGTATGGATCCTTTTTGACAGCGGTGAATCGAGAGTGCGGAACAGCGCGTGGATACAGCATGCCGGAGTCACTCGCTTGGTCCCAAGTGTGTATCAGCGGGCCGGGACGAGGTGTGGAATTCCCGCATATGTCCCGTTGACGTTTAGATTAACGAAGTTTGTGTCACACAACTTGACCCCAAAAGATGCAAGGCCTGCAGAGTGCTGCAAGCATGAGTGGTTCGTAAGCAGTAAAGAAGACCCGTGTCGCTTGTGCCGCGTCTCGTGTGCCGCGAGCTGCGCGTAAATCCAAATGTGGTTATATCAGGCGGGAAGACATCATCAAGCCTCCGAGACGAATGGCGTCCTGTGCGACGCCTCCGCCGTCTGACAGGTTGCAGGCAGGGAAGGGGCACGTATCAACCAACTTTGACAGGACGCGCATCGACGCTGCAAACAAACATTGTCTATAAATGCGGCAACAAGTCCTGTCAGAGGCGCCGTTCGTCGAACCGTGTCCATGCATCAATGCACAAGCATCCTTCTGCATCCTGATGGCAACTTTTGGCTCGCCGCAATTCTATAATTTGTCCATGTATAAGCTGGGACGCATAACTTCCGTCCTTGCAGTAGCACGGTGCGAGGGAATACGCCCTGGCGGGTAAGCAGTATGTCCTCTGCGCTTAGCTGCCTGGTTTATTGGGGAGTTCGTTACCATCGTATGATGCCCCCAACTCCAAACGACGTCTGAACAACGACAAGCCGTACCGCTCGTGTGGACATGGTTTGAGCATCGACATGTTTTGGCTTCTGGAAAAAAAACCAATCGTGTGACGAACGCCGGCAGATGTCATTTAGAGCGACGGAAGGGGTGGGTAAGCGGCCACAAGCCGTGGCGGGACCATTGATCAGCCCGAGTGGTGCTAATTCGCGGAAGAAAGAATTATGGCGACCCATCGGTGTGTTGGATAAAAGGGTTGGATATTACCTGGCGATGCCCCACGAGCACACCGCTTTTTAACAAAGTGCGACGAAGACCTCGAGAAAAAAATTGCACAGGAGCCGCCAAAGGGGGGAGCAATAGTCCATGACAACAGACGAGTCGCAGCTGGGCATTTGACTCACACGTGTTCGTGTTGGGGCTGATGGCGTAAGTCTTGGGCAGTATCGCCGGCGGCCGAAGAGGGTGATGCTGTCGAGGAGCTGCACTGCATGGCGCTGACGGAATCAATGCCAGTGCCAGTAGCTAACCGGCTGCCAACTTTGCGCAGTCTCGATGAGCTGGTGAAGCCATCGTCATGCCATGCCATGCCATGCAGCTGGCCTTGATCCGACGCGTTAGAGCAGCACCCATGCATCCCAGACGGACAATGAGTGCGCCCCGGGCCGTGGCCGTATCAGCCTAACGCAACGTGTACAGCATGTCACAGCAGTTAGGAGCGTGCGGAGAGGGCAGGTGATGGGGCGAGCGGGCAGAGCAGTGGGTGCACACATACCCCAGCAGGTCGAGCGAGGGTGGCAATGTCATCGACGGGCTGGGAGGAGCAGCGGCGGCGGCGGCGGCATGGATGCGGTCATGGC